GGTCTCGATCTTTCGACCTCGTGATCCACCCGCCTCGGCCTCCCAAAGTGCTGGGATTACAGGCTTGAGCCACCGCGCCCGGCCTGTATTTGAGCATTCTTATAGGAAGTGATGTTACTGTGTCAAATATTGAACGATTTGAATAATTACTAAGTTGCTCAGTTGTGTATAGGATGTGCTTTGACTTGATAGAGCTTGTTCTAGCCCTGCTAGTTAAGCCTACATCTCTGTGACACAGAGAACAGGCTCTTCTGGAGTTGTGAGACTGCCACTTGAAATCAAGTGAAGCTGTGTGATTCCCAGCTGTTTCCACCACTTGAATAGGATTTATTTTAAAAAAGTAGTGGTGTTATTCTTGGATAACTTAGTTTATCTGTGATAAGTTTTTTTCCACTCAAACCTTTCCAAATTATATCTGAAAGTAATATTTTCAGATTCATTCCTCAAATATTTAGGAACTCTGCACAGTACATTATAGAAAGGGAAAAGACAATTTGTTTTATTTTTTGAGAATTACTGTACTTGTGAGACTCCTTTTACTAAAGTAATTCTCATGGCTTTGTGTGTGTGTGTGTGTGTGTGTGTGTGTGTGTGTGCGAGCACGCTCGCGCACGTGTGTGCAATAGCATCTCAATTTTAAATACCTGGAAAAAGAAAGGGAGAAGTTGTTAATGTCTTTTAAGGTAGGCAGATTGTAAGTGGCAGAAATGGGAGTTTGAATGAGTTATGTTTGAATTGAGAAATTATTTTAATTCCTCCATGCCTATTTCTTGCTCTTTATCTTGCGTCCTAATGTGCTGAGAAGAGGACAAACATGATGAATATTGAGAAGCAGTTACTTGATTTGTCAATTAGTAGAACATTGATCTGTGGACCTTCATCTCACATACTCAAAAGCTTTGTAATTTTTAGGAGTATTAATCTTCAAGCCCATCCCTACACCTCAATTAAGACCTTCTGGCTTAAAGCAGCTTAGTTTTAATAGCTTTGGATGGAGCCAGGTGATGAGAGAGAATGGACAAAATGAAAGGTGAGATGGGTGGGGCATGGTGGTGTAATCCCAGCACTTTGGGAGGCCAGGTGGGAAAACTGCTTGAGCCCAGGATCTGGTGACCAGCCTGGGTCTCAAAACAAAACAAAACCCCATAATTTACAACTTACCTACTGTCTCCATCACATTTATTTAAAAAGAAAGAAAAGGGGAGATGGAGACAGTCTTTTGACTTGTGGGAAAAGGGAAAGGCAGAAACTGGTGATTTTTTCAGTAGGGAAGATTCAAGCACAAGCTGGGAGGAGGTTGATTGGGGCTGATGATGATTGGAGCTTCATCCCTTGGAGAGGGTATACAATGGGATCATGACTCCAGGCTGAGGGACAACAAGAAACTGGATCAGATTTGAAGTATACAAAAATAAAGTTGAATTGGTTAGCTGATATTTTGAGTGCCAACAAAATAATTTGTCGGTAGACCCAAAGTGGCTAACAAGGTTTTTAAAACTGTCTGCTTCACGTAACACTCTTTGTAATTTAGGGTGTATAAAATGGATAACAAAAGCCAAAGAGGGACTGCTTAAATCAGTCCTTTTCATTGTTTTTGGTTTTTTTTGCCCTCACTTTATGTATTTCAAGAGCTTCTATGTCTTAGACTCACCAGTACTTGATATTATCAGTCTTAAAACTTTCTTTGTTTTGCTTTGCCAGTTTGATCAGTGGAACAAATCTTGGTTTTCTAGTTTGCATGTTCACAATTACTAATGAGGTTGAGAGGCTGGCTAGTGTAGCACTTGGGAGCTGTGGACTCCCTGGGTTGGAATCCCATTTTGCCACTTAGTACTTACTGATACAGGTAATTTACTTTTGCTCTCTGTGCCTCCCTTTCCTTATCGGTAGAGAGGGATGATAATAATTCCTTATGTATGCATTTGTAAGGATCACAGTGCTACGACAGTGCCTAACGTGAAAAGCTCTATTTTAAAATTACGTCTTATTTCATGTATTTATTAGTCACTTCTTTTTCTGAGATGTCTATCTTCATATCCTTTGCCTGTTTTTCTACTGAGGTGTCTTTATTTTGCAATTTGTTGGACATATATAGTTACAGATAGTTTCTTCTGTTTGCCCTTTAATTTTTCAGAGAAAAATCTGATTTCTCTCTGAGGCCTCTGAATTTTGCCTAGAGAAGGACATATCTTAAAAATAAGTTTTTGTGCATGTTTTAGTCAAGGTTTGTTTTTTTTTTTGAGACAGGGTCTTGCTGTGCTGCCCAGGCTGGAGTTCAGTGGCCCCATCTCAGCTCACTGCTACCTCCACCTTCTGGGTTCAAGTGATTCTCCTGACTCAGCCTCCTCAGTAGCTGGGACTACATGGGTGAGCCACCATGCCTGGCTAATTTTTCTTTCGTGTTTTTAATAGAGATGAGGTTTCACCATGTTGGCCAGGCTAGTTTTGAACTCCTGACCTCTAGTGATCCACCTGCCTTGGCCTTCCAGACTGCTGAAATTACAGGCATGAGCCACTGCACCTGGTTTTAAACATATATACCTCTAGCAGTTTCTATACTTGTTTACATTTTCCTCATTAATCTAGCTGTAATTTGTGTGTATGTGAGGGGGGCGCAGCGGGGGTTGAAGTATACTTCAGCTTTTTTTTTTTTTTTGACAATGATAGAGAACTTGAAGAGGAAGAAGTCTTAGAGTCAGATCTGAATTAGAGTCTGCTCTGCATAACTTGGGTAAGTCCCCGCTGTCTCTTATTTTTGACTCTGTAAAATGGAGATAATACTCAGTTTCTGTGCTGCAGAGACTGGGTATGAGAATGAAGTGTCAAAGCATTTGGAAACTTCCTGCAGTGGCTTGCTAACCTAAGTGTCTGGTGAAAAATACTTGGGTATTAATATTACAGAAGCAAACCAGCCCCAGGTATGTTTTATATGCAATGGTGAAAATTGGCTCTTGAATGTCTTAAGCCAGGTTATGATTAGAAAACTTAGAAATGAAACTTTGCAATGTTTGTGGGAAGTCTCTTTCAATCTGTGAGAGCCAGTGAGTTAGAACCAATCAGTTAAATTTATCTGGTGGCATGTTAGAGTCATTCACTGGGGGAGATTTTTTGCAAATTACTGATGCCTAGGCCTGACTCCTAGTATACTATAATTTATTCCGTCTGGAGAGGAACCTGGGCATCAGTGTTTTAAATAAAATCACTTCAGGTGATTTTATTGTGTAGCTGAAGAGGGCTACTGATCTAATGAATATAGATTTGAGGATTTGGTAGCATTCTCTTACACTCGTTTGCTGGTCAGGTTGCAAAGAGGAGTTCCTGTTCTTAAACAGTTGTGGCCTTGTAGCCCTGTTACGGTTCTAGGAGTGGCTGGAGCCAAAACCTTGCCAAAGTAGAGAGCTGAGATCATCTGACAAATTCAGTTGTATTGGAGTATTATGTAGTTTGAACCCTCTTAAAGAAAAATTTGCCAAAGAGATTTTTGGGGTTTTCAGGGTTTTGTGTTGGTAGGGTTAGTTTCTTCTCTGTGGCTTGCAGATGGCCACCTTTCTGCTGCATCTTTACGTGGTCTTTACTCTGTATGCCTGCACCCCTGATGTTTCTGTCCAGAGTGTTAAAGTTTATGTTAAAAGCACTTGGAACAGGCGTCCCCAAACTACGGCCCGGGCCGCATGCAGCCTGAAGCCATTTATCGGGCCCCCTGCCGCACTTCAGGAAGGGGCACCTCTTTCATTGGTGGTCAGTGAGAGGAGCACAGTATGTGGCGGCCCTCCAACGGTCTGAGGGACAGTGAACTGGCCCCCTGTGTAAAAAGTCTGGGGACGCCTGACTTGGAAGCTTGCTTAAAAAACCATTAGATAATGTCCTAGTATCAGTTATAAATGTTAGTTGTGCAGCCTTCCTTGAAATGTTTTAATGAATCATGTTATACTTTGTCCTAGTCCACATGTTCTTGAAACAGGAGAGTTCCCTGAGCACCCTCCCGGTACATGTGACAGGGGCATGGCTCGTTTATTCCTCTTGTGGGAAGGGGAGCACACAGGTGAGCAGGTGCAGGAGCCAGGGTGAGTGCTTTTGGGCTCTGGCCCCATAGCAGTGTCTAGGGTGTTATACTGCTCTTTCAGCCCTGCCCAGCTTAAGTGTTAAACAGAGAAGAGTCAGTGTGATAGCCTTTTTGGGTTCCCCCATGCAGAGCATCCCGAATTCTTGTCCCATATCCGGGAAGAATCACATCACAGGGACTTGAAGGATGGTTAATATGGGGATTTTATTGAGTGATGGAGGTGGTGCTCAGTGGGATAGAGAGCTGGAGAGGGGATGGAGTGGGAAGATGATCTTCCCCTGGAGTTCAGCTATCCCACGGCTGATCTCTAGCCTATCTCCGACGGCCCCCAGTCTGAACTCCTCTCCACCTTTAGACACTTCCTCTCTTTTCTTCTCTGCTGTGATGCTCTGCCACTCTGCTGCTCTTGGAGCCTGGGGCTTGGGGTTTATACGGGCACAAGATAGGGGTGTGTGTGGAAGGCCAAAAGGCAACACTTGGGCATGGAAACAGGAATGCCTGTTCTCATTTAGGGCTGCAGGTCCAAGCTTGAGGGTGGAGCCCTCGCCAGGGACCCCACCCTCATATCGCCTGTTCTTATTATTCTTACAGTATAATGAATGCATCAGCAAATTGAAGACAAATAGTTTTTTGCCATTCCTTATTTAATCAAAATGACAGTAAGTACTTTGATATATTATCTTTAGAGTCAGTTCCAGGAGAAAACTGTAATATTACATATTAAGGCTATATTTGTTTGTTTTCTTGGTATAATGGCCGGTGTACCATTTTCAGTTTTAACTTTAGTGTTAATGAAACTTCAGCTTTTTACTTTCTCTTCTGATTTATATAGCCCGTTTTTCCTGATTAGATGCACTGGTGATGCTGAATTTAAACAGTTCCGTAATTCATGTTTTTTATATCTAAAACCAATTACTTTTTCCCCCTTCTATTGTAGGTTATGCAATGGTCTCTGCAAGATGGTTTATTCTTGAATTGGACCTTTTTAAGACTGACAAATGCTGGTACTTCATCTTCTATAAGTGGACTATAATTTCTTTTCTCAAGACAACTACATAAGCAGACAAAATTGCAAAGATCTGCCCTGTGTCGAGTATGACAGCCACGACTCGTGGCTCTCCGGTCGGAGGGAATGACAACCAGGGCCAGGCTCCTGATGGACAGTCTCAGCCCCCCCTCCAACAGAATCAGGTAGGATGTTGAAGATACTAGTTAAAGCTACAGTGGGACTGGGCTCAGTGGTTCACAGCTGTAATCCCAGCACTTTGGGGGTTTAGGCAGACTGATCACTTGAGGTCAGGAGTTTGAGACCAGCCTGGCCAACAGGGTGAAAACCCCATCTCTACTAAAAGTACAGAAATTAGCTGGGCGTGGTGGCGTGCACCTGTAATCCCAGCTACTTGGGAGGCTGAGGCAAGAGAATTGCTTGAACCCGGGAGGCAGAGGTTGCAGTGAGCTGAGATGATGCCACTGCACTCCAGCCTGGGTGACAGAGCAAGACTCCATCTCTTTTTTAAAAAAAAAAAAAAAAAAAGCTACATTGGTGGGTCTACTGTTGAGGTACTAAATGATGGAACATGTTCTAAATAATTTGTGAAGCAACTATAAAACTGTTACTTTAGGCCAGACGCAGTGGCTCATACCTGTAATCCCAGTACTTTGGGAGGCCAAGGTGGGCGGATCACAAGGTTAGAAGTTTGAGACCAGCCTGGCCAACATGGTGAAACCCCATCTCTACTAAAAATCCAAAATTAGCCATGCATGGTCGCCTGTCATCTCAGCTACTTGGGAGGCTGAAACAGGAGAATCGCTTGAGCCAGGGAGGCAGAGGTTGCAGTGAGCCAAGATCACACCACTGCACTCCAGCCTGGGCAACAGAGCGAGACTATGTCTGGGAAAAAAAAAAAAACAAAAAACATAAAACAAACCAAAACTGTTTTTTTAAGTTTTGTTTAAGAAAAGTGAACATAGGTCTTGCATAGTAACAAGAAAGCTCAAATGGTGTAGATGGTAATCTTGAGTATACACCATCTTTTCCTGGTAGCTTATACTGTCATTAAAATTAACTATTAAAGGCCTGTGTAAATTCTAAGGGAGAAAGCATTAAATCATTCACTGTAGCCTGTGATTAGCATGGCTAATCATAAACCATAACCCATCATAAATCATGACAACAGTTTCTACCCATAAATACATACAATTATAAATTGTCAATTTATGATAAAATTATTAAAAGAGCATGGACCCAAGTCATGTTGCCTAGTATTCAAATTTCAGCTTTGTACCATACTTGCATTATGACTGTAGGTAAATTATATAACCTCTAAGCCTTAGTTTGTTTATCTGTACAAGTAGGGTAATAGTGTAACTACTTCATGGATTGTTAAGAGGATCAATTGAAGTAATGCTAAACATAGATTTTGGTATTAAGGTTTTTATGCTGGCCTCAGAACTCATAGGATATAATATTCCTTTTCTGTTCTCTGGATGAATTTATGCACAGTTTATTATTTCTTCGTTAACTGGAAGATTGGCGTAAAAGTTACTGCAGATTCTTTTTTTTTTTTAGAGATGGAGTCTCACTGTATCACCCAGGCTGGAGTGCACGGGTGTGATCTTAGCTCACTGCAACCTCTGCCTCCTGGGTTCAAGCGATTCTTCTGCCTCAGCCTCCCCAGTAGCAGGAATTACAGGCATGTGCCATCACACATGACTAATTTTTGTATTTTTAGTAGAGATGGGGTTTCACCATGTTGGTCAGGCTGGTCTTGAACTCCTGACCTCTTGATCCGCCTGCCTCGGCCTCCCACAGTGCTGGGATTATAGGCATGAGCCACCATGCCTGGCTGATTTGTTTTTTTTTAAATGGAGGAATTTTTTAATTTTTAGTGTTTTTTGGTAAATTGTGTTTTTCAAGGAATTTGTCCATTTGGGTTTTTTTCTTTTTTTCCACCTAAGCAGTGTGCTATGTCCATTTGATGTAGATCTTCAAATTTGAGGTAAAGTTGTTAATGATAATCCTTTTTATCTTTTTTGTGTCTTGGGGCCTATGGTAATGCTTCCTTATTTCTGATACCACTACCAATTTCATTAAGCTTTCTAAAAAACCAACTCTTGGCTTTACTCCCTTCCCCAATCTCCTGCCCGCCAACACTTAACACTCACACATTCACTCTTTTACCGTCTCTTTGTTTGTTTTACTTCCCTTGGATTTGGTTTGCTGTTCTTTTTCTCATTTCTTGAAATAGAAATTTAGACAATTTATTTCAGTTGTCTTTTCTAATATATATAGTTTTATATTGGGAAGTATTAAACCGACAAAACATTAAAACTTGTGATGTGCAGCTCAAACTGTGCTTAGAGGTAAGTTAGTTGAGATGTGTGTAAATGATCACAAACATGGTGCTTCCAATTATTACATGTTTGTGTAGAGTCCGTCGGGTAAGTTTTTAGGCAAAATTGTTATTTTGAAGTATTTATGCTATTTGGGGATAAGATCTTGTCCAGCTATTACAGATTTGATGCTCTTTCAGAAGTAGTATAGAAAAGAGCTTCTGTCTGTCTCTCCTTTTTCCTCTTCCCCTGCTGTTTTAGAGAGTGAACAAGTCGGGGGTTTTTTCTTCCCCAAATAAATGTGTCAGCTTTATTCCTTTTCCTCTGTAGTTCCCATTTGCAAGACATAAAATATTAAAAGTGTATGGTCACAGGTCTTGAACAGAGTTAAGTCTTTCCTGTGTTATAAATTTGTTTGCCAGTATTCAGGTTTTCAGAAGTATAGTCAAAGGTTTGTGTTAGATGCCAAACATTTCTGATTTTAAACTAGAAGCTAGTAGGTAGAGGTCCAGTATCTTTCTCTTTCTTTTTTATTTCATACCAGCATTGTCCATGAAATTCTAACCTCTTGCAATGTTTCTAACTTGCATGGCTTTAGACAAAAATCAAACCTTTTCTTTAGCCCTACTCTTATTTTAAGGTGTACTTAATGATGTTTAGAGCTCTTGGATTTGTGATATTCAACCTAATCTGTGTCTACATTGTGTTCCTTTTCTTCTAAAAACTTGACATTTTTGAAAATGACTATTGCATTATCCTTCACTCTTACATTTTGTTTTTCTCTGCTTTTTTTGTTAGGATTTTATTTTATAAGATCTGACATGGCCGGGCGCGGTGGCTCAAGCCTGTAATCCCAGCACTTTGGGAGGCCGAGGCGGGTGGATCACGAGGTCGAGAGATCGAGACCATCCTGGTCAACATAGTGAAACCCCGTCTCTACTAAAAGTGCAAAAAAAAATTAGCTGGGCATGGTGGCACGTGCCTGTAATCCCAGCTACTCAGGAGGCTGAGGCAGGAGAATTGCCTGAGCCCAGGAGGCGGAGGTTGCGGTGAGCCGAGATCGCGCCATTGCACTCCAGCCTGGGTAACAAGGGCGAAACTCCATCTCAAAAAAAAAAAAAAAAAAAAGATCTGACATGGTTGTACCAAGAAGCAGCAACCAAAGTGTTAATCCCTATTCAAATTAGGGCTGACTTTTTGGATATGCTTTTTATGTACTGGCATAAAGGGAATTTCTAAAATCAGATTTTTCACTTAATTTTTTAAAGCATGTCTTTAAAAAAAAATTCTCTTAGAGAATTTTAGGCTTTAGTTTATAGTAAAACTCAGTAAATGAAACAGCCTTGGCAGAGGCACCGTAAGATGAACGCTCTTGGATATGGTTGCTGGGAGGGTGCAAATTTTCTGGAATGAAATTTGGCAGCAGTATATGTCAGTGGCCTTCAAAGAAATTGTTTATACAGTTCTAGTAATTATATATCCAGAATACTGTCCTAAGGAAAAGTTAAACACAAAGGTTTCTATATAAGAACATTCATTACAGCTATGTTTATGTTTGTTAGCAGTAACAATTACGAAATACTAAATGTCCTCTTAATTTTGTTTAATTCATGCAATATTATCTGGGCATTAATTTTTTTTAAGATTCTTAATGATTAAAAAAATTGAATACCTAGATTTATTGAATAGAAAAGGGACGCAGACTTAAGCAAGTATAATTCCAATATTATTGAACATATATGGACAGTTTTTATTTACTAATAAAGATTACAAGGAAATAATTAAATGTCATTGGTGTTTATAGGTGTGGAGTTATAGGTGTTTTAAATTTTATTTTTGTCTTTATATTTTCTATGATCATGTATAAACTACATTGGGGGAAGGGAGTTAAAAAAAATAATAAAGCCAGCTTTCACAGTTACATACTTCACATCAGGCATTTTTGTTGGACTTGTAACACTTGACTTCTGTGCTGTAGTTTCCTTTGCCTTGAGACCAGGTCTGTGGGCACCTGCACAGTGTTCTTTAAGTAGAGGTTCACCATTTAGTTACTAATTGACCATATGAGTTCATATATAAACTTTGTAAATGAAACATTTAATGCTGGTAAACTCGTGTCTTCATATAAGTGCTTAACTTATGCAACTCTTTTTTTTTTTTTTTTTTTTTTTAAACAACTGTTTAATAGGTACTTGAATGATAGGGTGAGGGGCCCTTTTCTCTTAAAGGGCCACCAACCTACAATGAATAGAAAATTCAAGAATACATGAGAAAATACCACCTGCTTTGTAAATTAAGAGTGAAGGTCATAAAAGTTCATTCACTTAGTTGTGAGAATATTATGTACTGCTAAAGTCAGGGAGGAGGGTGTGGGGAGGGAGAGAAAGACATGCCAAAAACGAGGAATGAGAGAAGTGAAAAATAGCCACATTAGTTGAAAGTGTTTTACTTATTTAAGAACCATAATTATAGACTTCTAAATAATTGTTGTTTGGATAATAGTTTGGGTGTAGGAAAATTGTGGAATAATTACATTTTCCCCCTTCAAATTAAAAAGAAAGTAGAAGTTACAAATCACTTTGTAATGTATTAAATGTGATGTATCATATTTATAGAATGATTTCTGTCATGGCTCATATAATGGGAAACGTAAGCAGAGAGGCAGTACACATTACGATTATGAACACAAACTATTTAGACTTTGATTCAAATCCTGAGTATAGAGTTTGAGCTGTGCGATCTTGGGTTACATATTGTCTTGAGTTTTTTCATCTATTAAATGGCAGTAGCATACTTCATTAGGATGTTGAGGATTAAATGAAATTATTTTAAAGCACAGTAGCACAGAGATGGCCTGAAACATTGTAAACATTCAATATAGTTGTTCCTTAGTATTCATGGAGGATTGGTTCCAGGACCTCCTAACACTTGGATAGCAGAATTCGTGTATGCTCAATTCCCTGATATAAAATGGTTTAGTATTTGAATATAACTCAGGTACATCCTTCTATATATACATGAAATGATTTCTAGATTACTTACGCCTATTGTTACTCTGCTGTATTTTTGGGGAATAATGACAAGCAAAAAAGTCTGTATATATTCAGCATAGATGCAATCTTTTCAGATATTTTCGATTGAAGGTTGTTGGTTAAATTTGCAGATGGAGAACCAATAGATATGTAGGAGTAGTAAAAAAATTTTTAAATCTGCAATGTTCATCTGTGTTGGTGTTTGGATTACTATTTTTCATATGTTATAGAAACTTAAATGTGGAATATTTAATTTTTAATTAAGACTTCATCGCCTGATTCTTCCAATGAAAATTCCCCGGCAACTCCCCCAGATGAGCAAGGTCAAGGTGATGCCCCACCACAGCTTGAAGATGAGGAACCTGCATTTCCACATACTGACTTGGCCAAGTTGGATGACATGATCAACAGGTGAGCTGGTTTTGCTTTGTTTTTTTGATGTGTGTAACACACAAGAAAGAGCAGACAGGAAAGTAACCCCACTGCCTCCTTAATAGTCTTTACGGCTTTGTCACTGCCAAGTGCTTTATAACTCATGATTCTTAATGGATTTAATAAATGAAATGGAGTGAGAGTGTTAGTAAAATTTTCACATTAATGATGATGACCGTAGTTGGTTTGTTTCTGAAGTAAAGTTGTATGTTCATTTTCCCTCTTTGAAAGTTTATGAAGTTTTTTTGTTATTGGTCTCTTGGTTGCTGGATGACTTTCATAATTTTGGGATGCCCTGAGGTAAATAAGGTCATGAGGACATTGAGTTCCTCAGAGCCTGTCCCTAGTGAACTCTTAACTAGTTTGAGCCATTTGACCATCCTAGATGTTTTTTTTTTGTTGGTCTTCATCCCAGGGAACAGTTCAGAATATAATTTTTCAGACTTACAATACAAACAGCCACCCTATTCCACCCCAGCACACTTTGATTATTTAGAAGAAGACTCCAAGAAAGTGAAGCTGTAAGTTTTTGTGCAGAGGAAGAAAACGATTTCAAGAGGCTAGGGAAGAGCACATCAGGGGATCTCATACGACTGTGGTCTTCACCAGACTATGAGCTCAACAAGTGAGTGCTAGGAAGGTGTGACACATTTTCCCTCTCCCTCCCCAAAAGGAAAGTAATGAAAACACATGTTCTTAGAGGCACTTGCTTCACTGAGTTTTTTTTTTCTCTTTTGTATTTCACTTTTTAAAAATAACACTGTTAAATGCATAATGTGAGGGGAAATAGAAATCCTTTGCATTAAAAAATGAATATATAAATAATAGGCATTACTAAGCAGAAATATGTGTCTACATTTCCCTATAATTTCCCCCTTACATACACATATTCCTGCCAAGTATTGCTGTTAACAATCAGGAGTACATTCTCCAGATTACCTTTATGTTTACTATTATGTATGAATTGATTTTTCTATAAATACAGGATTCTTACTATAATTTTGTAAATTGCTTTCTTCATTTATCTTGAATATTTTTCCTGTTAATAAGTATCCATTGTTTTTAATGGTATATTTATAAGAACATATTGTGTGATTCTTGGCAGGTGCCTATAGTAATGGTATACAATGAATTATAGTCAAAAAAGAATTGTAATGGTGGTCCCTGGCCATTCTCTATAGAAGTGACACCATAGCAGAAGGTTGTATTGTTCGTTGCTTTTCTGTACTTGTCTGGTGGTTGGTGATTTCTTAGGCTGACTAGAGGACTAAAGTTGCATATTATTAGCAAGTTCTCAGGAGAAAGAAAAATACAAATTTTTTTTTTTTTTTTTTTTTTTTTTGAGAGAATCTTGCTCTTTAGCCAGGCTGGCGTTCAGTGGCATGATCTCGGTTCACTGCAGTCTCTGCCTCCGAGGTTCAAGTGATTCTCCTGCCTCAACCTCCCGAGTACCTGGGACTATAGGCATGCGCCAACCCGCCTGGCTAATTTTTGTGTTTTTAGTAGAGGCAGGGTTTCACCATGTTGTCCAGGATGGTCTTGATCTCTTGACCTTCTGATCATCTGTCTCGGCCTCCCAAAGTGCTTGGATTACAGGCATGAGCTACCAGGTTCCCTGCGTCTTGTTTTTGTTTGTTTGTTGTCTTTTTCCTTTTCTTTTTCTTTTTCTTTTTCTTTTTTTTTTTTTTTTGAGACAGAGTCTCGTTCTGTCACCCAGCCTGGAGTGCAGTGTACGATTTTAGCTCACTGCAACTTCTACCTCTGTGATGGAAGTGATTCTCGTGCCTCAGCCTCCAGAGTAGCTGGAATTAACAGATGTGCACCGTAACACCTGGCTGGTTTTTGTATTTTTAGTAGAGACAGGGTTATGCCATGTTGGCCAGGCTGGTTTCAAACTGCTGGCCTCAAGCAATCCACCCGCCTTGGCCTCCTGAAGTGCTGGGATTACAGGTGTAAGCCACCACACCTAGCCACAAATGATGTTTTTTAATGTAAATATGAACAGTGACAAAAGGTGTAGTATACATTTGTTACTAATAGATTATCTGGGCTGGGTGCAGTGGCTCACACCTGTAATCCTAGCACTTTGGGAGGCTGAGGCGGGTGGATCACAAGGTCAGGAGTTAGTTACCAGCCTGGCCAATATGGTGAAACCCCGTTTCTACTAAAAATACAAAAATTAGCTGGGCGTGGTGGTACACGCCTATAGTCCTAGCTGCTTGGGAGGCTGAGGCAGTAGAATTGCTTGAATACAGGAGGCAGAGGTAGCAGTGAGCTGAGATCGTGCCACTGCACTCCATACTGGGTGACAGAGTGAGACTCCGTATCAAAAAAAAAAAAAAAAAAAAATTATCTGGTAATGGAGTATTTTTAATCAAAATGCCCTGGGGGTATTTAGCGACTTTGCCTACTCTTAGTACACAGATAAAGGGATGGATGGAAGAAGGGTCATTCTTCTGGGGAACAGTGGGTGTGTGTTGGGTGGTAATAAGGGCAAAGGGTTAGGAAAAGGATGGATTCTTAGGTGGTTGAGCTGCCACCGAGACTGGAGAAAGCACCACCTGGTTGTATCCTGCATCCTTGCTTGAGGGTGGAGGATGTCTGTGAGGCATGGAAACTTGGAGACCCACTGCTTACTTACCCTTCAGAAAAACTTGATGCATTATAATGAACGGAGACAGAAATCAGTCCATTGCCTCCTATTTATTTTCTTTGTGAGGAAGTTCAAGACAACAGTGGGCCAGGTGCAGTGGGCTCGCACTTGTAATTTCAACACTTTGGGAGACCGAGGCTGGAGGATCACTTGAGGAAAGTAGTTTGAGACCAGATTGAGCAACATGAGAAGACCCTGTCTCTCCTCTCTTTTCTTTTTCTTTGTTTTTTTTTCTTTTCTTTTTCTTTTTATTTTTTGAGACAGAGTCATCTCGCTCCGTCACCCAGGCTGAAGTGCAGTGGTACAATCTTGACTCATTGCAACCTCTGCCTCCCAGGTTCAAGCAGTTCTCCTGCCACAGCCTCCTGAGTAGTTGAGACTACAGGCATACACCGCTACGCCTAGCTAATTTTTTGTGTTTTAGTAGAGATGGGATTTACTGTGTTGCCCAGACTGGTCTTGAACTCCTGAGCTCAGGCCATCCGCCCACCTTGGCATCCTAAAATGCTGGGATTATAGGCTTGGGCCACTGTGCCCAGCCAACCCTGTCTCTTAAAAAAAAAAAGTGGGGGGAGGGATGCAGGGCAAAGAAGAGGTTTATTATAGTGTCTCCTTTGATCTGAATCCTGAAAGAGCACTTCTATGAATTTTAACAAAAGAGCACTATGAATTTTAACAAAAATATCGATGATACCTAGTTAGTTAATATTTGATTGTTATAATAGTTTTATGCCTTAAGTTACCAAGATAATTTAGTTTTCTTATCTCTCTTATTGCTTTATCTTTTGACATATCTTTAAAAATTTGTGGAGACAGCAGATGGTACTTAGTCCCACAAAGCAGATATTCTGCCAACCTTGTCTTAATATTTTAATTTTAAATATTTTTATAGCAAGATAATTAGTAGCTCATTTATAGTGCCTCTTTTAGTGTACAACTATTAAGCATCTTTTTATTTTATAAAACTTTTAGGCCTCGATGGGTAGTTCCAGTTTTGCCGAAAGGGGAATTAGAAGTGCTTTTAGAAGCCGCTATTGATCTTAGTAAAAAAGGTAAGTTATATGTTTTTATGCTTTCTATAATGTATGCTACTAGATGTACTTTTACTTCATCCCCAAAGTGGATGAGGTGGATTTGTTTTCCCCCGTTATAAACACATACTTACAGCTTGCAAGCAGGAGCTTATATCCTTTGGACATTCTTAAAGAGTGTTTGTAAACTCTCTGAAGTTACATAAAATTTATTTATGTTTGTATTTCTAAGGAGTGGATTCATTGTTTAGTCAGATTTACAAAGAGGTTGTCACTCAAAGGTTAACATTTTCTTTGAGATGAAGTCTCACTCTGTTGTCCAGGCTGGAGTACAGTGGTGTGATTTCTGCTCACTGCAACCTCTGCCTCCCAGGTTTAAGCAATTCTCCCACCTTAGCCTTCCGAGTATCTGGGACTACAGGCACGTGCCACCATGCCCGGCTAATTTTTTGTATTTTTAGTAGAGATGGGGTTTCACTATGTTAGCCAGGATGGTCTCAATCTCCTGACCTTGTGATCCACCCACCTTAGCCTCCCAAAGTGCTGGGATTATAGGCATGAGCCACCGCACCCGGCCAGGTTAAACATTTTTAACTGAGGGTCTTATCTGTTATGAGAAATAATGTATAAAAGAACATTTTACAATTATTCTACAAATGATGGATGGTATGATGGACTCCAGATATATCTGCCCCCTATCCCCCTTGTAATTATCTTGAGTCATTTCTGTCCTCAAAATACGTACTATATAAATCTATAAGTTATTTACACTTGCCTGAAATGACAGTGAGTTAGGGTGTGTGGCTCTTTGTACCTAGTAAAATCTTAATTCATAATCCTTTAGTTAAAAATTACCATTTTATTAATATTGTACTTATAAAATAAACTGTCTGCCTTACATGTCTGTAAGATAGTGTTGCTTCGTCACCCAGGCTGGAGTGTGGTGGTGTGATCACGGCTCAATGCAGTGTTTATCTCCTGGGCTCAAGTGATCCTCCCACCTCAGCCTCCTGAGTGGGATACAGACACACATCATCATGCCCTGCTGATTTTTTTTTTTTTTTTTTTTTTTCGAGATGGAGTTTTGCTCTTGTTGCCCAGGCTGGAGTGCAGTGGCGTAATCTCGGCTCACTGCAACCTCTGCCTCCCGGGTTCAAGTGATTCTCCTGCCTCAGCTTCCTGAGTAGACGGGATTATAGGCACCTGCCCCACACCTGGCTAATTTTTGTACTTTCAGTAGAAACAGGGTTTTTCACCAAGTTGGGCAGGCTGGTCTTGAACTACTGACCTCAGGTGATCACCTGCCTCTCAAGGTGCTGGGATTACAGGCATGAGCCACCACCCCCGGCTAATTTTTTTTTTTTTTTTTTTTTTTTTTTTGAGACAATCTGGTTGCCCATGCTGGTCTCAAACTCTTGGGCTCAAGCGATCCTCCCACCTTGGCCTTCCAAGTGTTGTGATTAAAGGTGTGGGCTACTGTACCCAGCCTTTTTTTTTTTTTTTTTTTTTAAATTCATACACAGGAAAGGTGTCATTTTTCTCTTAAAGAACTGAAAGATGAACTTTCAGCTTTTGTTAAACCAGCAAAAGGAAATCTGGTGTTTTTACTCAGGTGTCCAGAAGAAAAAGCTTAATGCAGGAATTAATCTTTTTTCCCCCTCCCAATGATGTTGGTCTACTTAAGGTGCATTTGATCTAACAGAGTACTACTATTGTAGTAACTCTCAAATCATTTTTTAAGGCATTGCAGATTAAAAAGCAGTAACATTTCATTTTCTTAAATAGGATAGCTATGGATGTGTTATAACTAATAATAGGCACTATCACAATTGAAATTGATTATTGTCAAAATTAACATGTTTAGTACCTTGCTTTTAAGTTCAACTCCATGTCAAGGGCAAATTTGATTTATCTCACAATAATTTCCCTCTTTTGTTTGGAGAAAATATCCTTATGCCTCATTAATCTTGTAGAAGTAGACTAATAAACTGAAAATATAATACATGGACAGGTTACAGTTGTTTTCACTACTCAAAATTTTTTGTTCTTTTACACATTTGTTAACTAATTTATCAAAAAAATTTTAAAGAAAATATTTAAAAAATGTTTAATTTTTGTGGGTATATAGTAGGTGTATATATTTTTGGGTAATTAGATTTTGATACAGGCATAAAATGCATAATCACATCAGAGTAGATACAGTATTCATTACCTCAAGCATTTATTTTTTGCATTTCAAATAATCCAGTTACACTCTTTTAGTTGCTTTAAAAGGTATAATTATTTTTTACTGTAGTCACTCTTTTGTAGGTGATACTCTATTTTTTGTACCTATTAACCTCCCTTCTATTCTCTTTGTCCGTGAGTTCAGTTGTTTGATTTTTAGATCCCACAATTGAGTGAGAACATGTGATGTGTGTCTTTCTGTGCTTGGCTTATTTCACTTAACATGGTGACCTTTTGTTCCATCCATGTTGTTGCAAATGACAGGATCTCATTTTTTTTAATGGCTAAATAGTAACTCCATTGTGTGTGTGCACCACATTTCCTTTATCCATTTGTCCTTTGACGCTTAGGTTGGTTCAAAATCTTGGCTATTGTGGATAGTGCTGCATCAAACATAGTAGTGTAGATATTGTTTCAATATACTGATTTCCTTTATTTTGGGCATGTGAGCAGATTTTTGACGACTTCTGTACTAAGCATGTTCTAAGTCCTGACTAAAATGATGGGTAAACACTGATTAATGGTATTTCATTTAATAGCATTGAAATTCAGTGGATATGTATTCCTCCCTCCACCGTATTTTTTTTCTGACACCGCAATGTCGACAAGTTCCAAATTTTTAAAAGTTTAAATTACCATCTCTTTTGTACTATCAAAGTCAAGTAATACTTTCTATACAAATTGAATGTTTTTCATTTTGTTGTTAAGAGTTAGATTTTCTTTGTTTGGAAGCACGTGGCTCTGTTGCCTTTCTAAAATGAGGTGAAATTAAGTAAAGCAGTGACACTGAGGCAATGAAAGACACTAATAAGGAAGACAAGACGTAATTAATTTTATTTCATCGAACACTTACAGTATAAGGATATTGATGCCAAATGAATGATTTATGAACAAAATAAGATTTTGGAAAATTAGTTGTGAAATGTTTTTAAGTTCAAAGGTTTATTTTCAGGGAGCAAATTGTTATTTAAATTTCCCTCTAATGTGGTGCTGCTGATCACCATTTTGTGTTTAAGGCTAGTGCCATAATTGGTAACGTTTTCAATTAGTGTTAATATTACTTGGTTAATCTGCTTTTATACAATTAAATATTTATTAGCTGTCATTGAAATTTCCAGTTATTTATTACCTTTTATTGTATATTGGACATTGTAAAAACAACCAGAGAAATACTTTGTTTGCATTAATTTTTCTCCCTTTTTCTTAGGGCTTGATGTTAAAAGTGAAGCATGTCAGCGATTTTTCCGAGATGGGCTAACAATATCATTCACTAAAATCCTTACAGATGAAGCAGTGAGTGGCTGGAAGTTTGAAATTCATGTGAGTCTTGCATTTGATTTACATAGTGTTGCCTGTGAGTGGGGAGGGGTGTATTTCTGTATGGCCGTGTTATATTTGGTCTGTTATGATTGAATTAAAAAGTCTTACAACTGGGCCAGGGGCGGTGGCTCACGCCTGTAATCCTAGCACTTTGGGAGGCCGAGGTGAGTGGATCACCTGAGGTCAGGAGTTCCAGACCAGCCTGGTCAACATGGTGAAACCCCGTCTCTACTAAAAATACAAAAAAAGTTAGCCAGGCATGGTGGCACACACCTGTAATCCCAGCTACTTGGGAGGCTGAGGAAGGAGAATCACTTGAACCCAGTAAGTAGAGGTTGCAGTGAGCTGAGACCGCAACACTGTACTCTAGCCTGTGTGGTGGGAGCGAGACTTCTTCTCCAAAAAAAAAAAAGTTCTAAAAATGAAAAACTTAAAAATGTTCATAAATTCTCTTGAAGGCAACGTGGTCATTTAGAATAAGCATGAGATTTAGAGTTAAACTTGGGTTTAATCTATCCCCTGGGATCTCAAGTGTCTGTGACCTTAGGCAAGTCATCACATTTCATTAAAAATATAATGCTGTCAGTTGTAAGGTATATCACTGTTTTATGGACTATTAAGAAAAACACCCAAGATGGGGCATCTTATACGTATCTGGGACACCAGAAGGTCAGTGTGGAGGTAAATGAGAAATGAACTTACCATGCAGAAAGGGACAGCAAAAACCCCTGCATATCTTAACCTTCGCACTTGGTGGAGGGAGGGATAAAAATTAAAAAGTGAAAATCTAAACCACAAGCAGTATTTAAACAGTTTTGCAGTCTGAATTCAAATTACAGTTGTGATACAAAAAATCCTTAAGGGGAAAATGTAAACTGGTCTCAGGTCGGTAGTGCCCCCAAGTGACTAGCAGAAGCAAACATAAATCCTCTCTGCAAATACCTTCCATTTAGGAAAACAGTAATGTATGATTCATTATACATCATATTAATATTTATTATAATACATTTTAACACATTATAATGTATTATAAGTTAGAGTCAGATTCCAGAGATCTTAAATAGTGAAAAAAGTATATGTCTCAGACTGATAAAATGCCATAATTACTCTTAAGTCTCTGTTGCCTTTGTTTTGTTTTGTTTTCCCCAAGACAGAGTTTTGCTCTGTCTCCCAGGCTGGAGTGAAGTGGTACAATCTCGGCTCACTGCAACCTCCGCCTCCCAGGTTGAAGCGGTTCTCCTACCACAGCCTCCTGAGTAGCTGGGACTACAGGCCTGCGCCACCATGCCTGGCTAATTTTTATATTCGTAGGAGAGATGGGGTTTCACCATGTTGGCCAGGTTGGTCTCGAACTCCTGTCCTCAAGTGATCCGCCTACCTCAGCCTCCCAAAGTGCTGGGATTACAGGTGTGAGCCACTATGCCTGGCCTCTGTTCTTTTGTATACTATGGAAATGGTCATAAGTTGTCAAGCAGATAATATTTTCATGGTCTATAACCTATTTCCCAAATATGACCATAGCGTAAAGAGTCCCCATCTTCTGATTTAACATGTAATTTTATAGGTGTAGAAATGGAAGCTTTGGAAGTGGGGCCAGACTTTTGCATTTGACATTTAGGTAGCAAATTTATCTTGGATGATTGACATATTGTTTATTTTATTTATTTTTATGTTTTGAGACAGTTTTGCTCTGTTGCCCAGGCTGGAGTGCAGCAGCACCATCTTGGCTTTCTTGGAACCTCTGCCTCCTGAATTCAAGCTATTCTCCTGCCTCAGCCTCCGAGTAGCTGGGATCACAGGCGCGTGCCAGCACGCATGGCTAATGTTTGTATTTTTAGTAGAGACGGGGTTTCACCCTGTTGGCCAGGCTGATCTCAACTCCTGGCCTCAAGTGATCCACTCACCTTGGCCTCCCAAAGTGTTGGGATTAACAGGCATGAGCCACTGGGTCCGGCCTGACATATTGTTTAGATTTTAGAATTGCTGATTCTCGTGTACAAATTCCAGAGAGAAAAAAATAATTTGCATCTTATCTGTGGACGGAGAGCGGGAATAGATAACATATAGTGCCTCCTGTATTTTTTAAGCCATAGCAAATGGCTTTTGAAAGTACCATGTAAATTATGAAGTAAACAAATTATAATTTTTTGATAATAAATTTGATCACAATATTAATGAAATGATTAGTATAGAAAATGAAGAGATAATTTTATTAGTTACGATACGATTAATATTGGAAGATATTTCTGTTTGAAATTGCAGTGCTTTGACCTTGTAAATCACCTTTCCCCCTTATATAACAGAGGTGTATTATTAACAATACTCATCGTCTGGTGGAGCTATGTGTGGCCAAGTTGTCCCAGGACTGGTTTCCACTTTTAGAACTTCTTGCCATGGCCTTAAATCCTCATTGCAAATTCCATATCTACAATGGTACACGTCCATGTGAATCGGTTTCCTCAAGTGTTCAGCTGCCTGAAGATGAACTCTTTGCTCGTTCTCCAGACCCTCGATCACCAAAGGTGAGTTGATTTGTTATTTTCAAAATTAAGTAATATGATTGTTCTGCTCTGACACAGAATCTTCAGTGATCTGTATTTAAAGTGTCACAGTGAAATAGGCTTTAACACTTTAAGTGAAAATATGCACAACCAGGAGCATTTTTCATAGCTTTGTCATTTTAGTTCTATATTTGTTTTTTCTGCATGTATAATTATCCCCATTGTCTTCTGTCCAGCCTCTTTAGGAGTAGTCATAATTTGGGTTAGTGGAAAATAGAACTTTTTTTGAAACAGAGTAGGAGATTACTTCTTTGGCCAAGGACAAGTGTTGATCTGTAGGGCCGTGATTGTTTTAAGCATTCTAAAATTTTGACTCCAAAATCAAGTATATCCTCTAAATACCTAATGATATATCATAAAATTACAGAAAATTGTTAATGAAATCAATATAGTAAATCTTCCAAATCTCTCTTAAATATCTGTATTCTGTACATAAATGTAAGTTTTCTATATTGGTGTAAACTGTACATTTAAAAAAATGTATCCCTAAATGCTGCTTGTTTTATTAAATATATAATTTAAAATTTTTAGGTTTTAGGGAGATAGTTTTAATATTATAGGTCTTGTACAAATTTCCCTTTTTCTATCCAGCCAGAAAAATTTTAAGTCATATTTTTCAGTACTTGGTTTATTCTACTAATAACCTGAAGTTATCAAAAATTTGTCAAACTTAATAGTTGAGATTTTCTGATATTTCCCAGTTCATATTGTTGCCACTAGATGGCTTAGTTTTACTTGAGTAGATCAGGTTAACATCTAAATCATGGCAGTCTTCAAAATAAAAATTTTCATCTATACCTCTTATTTCTTTTTAAATTTTACCTTTTTTCCCCCCTCTATATGCCAGTAATCCATAACTTAAGAGATTCACAGGGAACAAAACTTAATTTAACATGGCTAAATATAAAATTTTTAGATGACTTCTGGTTGAAGATAATTTTCTATCTTTGAAGTACAGTTCTTGCTATTAAACTAATAAAAAATAGTGACTGTGAGTAGACTTTCAAAACCTTCAAGAGTACAGTCTTTAAAAATATAGCCCAAAATATAGTTGTGAATCAGGGAGAAGCATATTCTGTGGAGTTACCTACACATTTGCTTGCTACTGAAGTAAGAGAAATTTTATCATACAGCTAAACTGGTCTTTTATAAGCTTTTAAAAATCTGATTAAAAGGTGACATATTTGGCAGAATCTTCAACCATGTCCCTAGTTGGATGTAGATGTCATGATATAATGAAAAATCTAAGGGATATATAAGAGCCCCCATATGTTTTTTTGTCCTGTTCTACAAAGGTGGTGGTGGCAAAATTCACATCATCAAACTTAGTTGATGGAGGTAAATTTTGTAAGCTGTAGATTGACTTTCAAATACTGTTTGTAATGAGTTGCATTTACCTTTGAGAAATTCGAGTTACAGAGCTTAAAATTCTGTTTTATTAGGAATATTTTTGAGCCTTAATACTCAGTTATCCTCTGGAGTTTTTGGTAGGTCTTGTGTTCTACTTCAGATTCTCTCTACACTCCCTACCCTCCTACCCTCCTGGGACATTGAACCTCTGTGGCCTCAACTTTTGACCCATGACAAAGCTAAAGTCGTCAGGACTATCTCTAAGAATGTTACCTGTTCCCCATCTTCCCCCAATATGTTTGCAGATGTTTAAATGAGATTATCCAAACATTCAAAGTATAATAAAAACTTCATTGGTTGTGACAAAAGGTCTCAGGTGAAATTCACCATGCTATGTTTGAGAAAAGGAACTTGTAGGAATAGAAAACTATGTGGAAAGCATATGGTGAATTGTAGGCTGTGTGGTCATTTTGAATTTCTCTATTTAGGGCAACTGATCTTTCTCTGCCAGTCTTGACAACTTACAGCCAAAAAAAGGAAAAGCTTTTGTTTGGCAGCTGCTGAAGCTAGTCTATTAGCCTCAATTTGAAGCACTGTATCTTAAGATTCCCACTTGTTTGTACATTGCAGCTGAAGAAATACGGAAGGATTAGCTTTAGATCATTCTTTACTGTGTCCACACCCGCTATTTTATAAATATTATGCTATTGTCAAGTACATCATTCTAATAATCTCATTACAGTTACTGAAGAAATAAAATATATTACGTAATGAGCATATACTTTCTTACAAATGCTGAATGACAAAAGGGATCTGGTGAATTAAGTACTCAGAGTTTTAATGGTTTTGAATTAGCCTTTTATGACTAAAAAGGTAGGAAAACACTATAATCTTATATTGAAATATGGTAGTGGATTTATTCGATAATTTAGTTCATTTATATTCTTATAAAACCATATCAAAACTAGCATTAGGCCAGGCAAGGTGGCTCATACCTGTAATCCCAGCACTTTGGGAGGCCGAGATGGGCAGATCACCTGAAGTCAGGAGTTCGAGAGCAGCCTGGCCAACATGGTGAAACCCAGTCTCTACTAAATATACAAAAATTAGCCAGGCGTGGTGGTGGTGCGTGCCTATAATCACAGCTACTCGAGAGTCTGAGGCAGGAGAATTGCTTGAACCCGGGAGGTGGAGGTTGCAGTGAGCCGATACCACACCATTGCATTCCAGCCTGGGCAACAAGAGTGAAACTTAGGTGTTTTTTTTTTTTTTTTTTTTTTGAGACTAACATTAGCTATCATATTTTCTCTTTAAACAAACATTGGACATACAACCATTTATTTAGCATCTTTTCTTTTTCCTGTACCTTAAAAAAAATAGCTGTAGAAAATGTTTTTGCTTAAGCTGTAGAAGAGAAAATTGCCTTTTCTGTCCATTGTATTCCCTTCAGCAGCTTCTAAAACATGGCCTAAATTTTAGAAGGTGGCAAAGTGTGAAAAGGTTTTCTTAGGTACGTTAATTTCTACATATATTTGATTCTTATATCTATATAGCCTTTTAATTCATTTTAAGTTTTTGCATACAGACATGCTTTTAGCCTCACAACTGTTTCCTGTCCCAGCTGTATGGTACTTTGAGCTACAGCTCTTTCTTAGACAGTTCATCCTGTTGCATGGTGTTACTTCTAAGATAAGGAGAACTGGGTGCAATTTGTATAAGCAAAAGTATCAACCAGCATATTCTACTTAGGAACAATGGATACTAATACCAGGGCTGAGTTTTTAATTGACAGTTCATTCTCTGGCTGTTACTATGTTTATAGGGAAATTTTAATGTTTTACAACTAAACGAGAAGTAGATTGAGAATTCATTAATATTAGATTACTAAATAGCTTCTTAACTCTCTTGAAGTCTTTCTGCCTCCTGAAAATTAATATAAAAGACTTTGCAATAATGAGAAGGTATTCATTCTTCTGTGGTGGGATATTTGAAATAGGAGCATGTCTTCTAATTCTTCACCACTTAATATTGGAACAAACAGAACTGTACCCCAGTGATTTAATCTGTACTTGCTCCATATACTGCTTCTGTCTCACAGATGGAATTACTGTGAACAAAATGCAATGTTTTGTGGTCCTTTGAAAGATGATTTGTTTTATTGAATTTACTATTTCTAGTATATTTCAATAAAGGTTTAGTGCTTTTTACCCCTTAAAGTAGGAAGTTAACTTTTTGCATTAATTGTGTTACAGGGTTGGCTAGTGGATCTTCTCAACAAATTTGGCACTCTAAATGGGTTCCAGATTTTACATGATCGTTTTATTAATGGATCAGCATTAAACGTTCAAATAATTGCAGCCCTTATTAAGTAAGTTACATTTAAAAATAAATGTTTAGTGCACTGTAGAATTGCTGGGTTTTGCTTCATAAAAATTGAGGTTTTCAACTGTGGTTTCTTCTTCAACTAATTACTTGAATTTTAAAAAGTAATAGAGTTCAAAAAGTAATACAGAGTTTAGTCCTAAATTGATTTTAAGAATTTGCATATTTGCCGGGCACGGTGGCTCAAGCCTGTAATCCTAGCACTTTGGGAGGCCGAGGCGGGTGGAGCACGAGGTCAAGAGATCGAGACCAACCTGGTCAACATGGTGAAACCCCGTCTCTCCTAAAAATACGAAAAATTAGCTGGGCATGGTGGTGCATGCCTGTAATCCCAGCTACTCAGGAGGCTGAGGCAGGAGAATTGCCTGAGCCCAGGAGGCGGAGGTTGCAGTGAGCCGAGATCGCGCCATTGCACTCCAGCCTGGGTAACAAGAGCGAAACTCCGTCTCAAAAAAAAAAAAAAAAAAAAAAGAATTTGCATATTTACAGGAGTTTTGTATCTTTCTTATTTCAGACCATTTGGGCAATGCTATGAGTTTCTCACTCTTCATACAGTGAAAAAATACTTTCTTCCAATAATAGAAATGGTTCCACAGTTTTTAGAAAACTTAACTGATGAAGAACTGAAAAAAGAAGCAAAGAATGAAGCCAAAAATGATGCTCTTTCAATGATTATTAAATCGTTGAAGAATTTAGCTTCAAGAGTTCCAGGACAAGAAGAAACTGTTAAAAACTTAGAAATATTTAGGTTAAAAATGATACTTAGGTAAGATACTTAAGTCCTGAAGTAATTATTTATGCCAATTTTAGAATCATACTTATCACTGAATTTTTCTTACAGATTATTACAAATTTCTTCTTTCAATGGAAAGATGAATGCACTGAATGAAGTTAATAAGGTGATATCTAGTGTATCATACTATACCCATCGGCATGGTAATCCTGAGGAGGAAGAGTGGCTCACAGCTGAACGAATGGCGGTGAGTCTTTCGATTCTTCTTTATGTGAGTAAGAATCTAGTTAGGACAAAAAATTAGAATAGCTCTAGCTAAAAAAAATTAGTAACATTTTAAAATAAACTCTCAAGTTGGAGATGTTCTGATTGATTTATAACTCTGTTAATCCTGAGAACTTTTTGAAATAACATCGTTTATTATTTGGTATTGCTCTGTGTAGCTTTAAAACATCTTAGATAAACTTAGTGATGAACGTAGCGTTCCAAAGTAATTATTAGTTTGTTGGGGAGTGGGAAATTGATTGAAATTGAGTAGGTAGAGTTGATCTAGAAAGTGGATTGGGTAGTATCTGGTACCTTATAAAGTGGCCCTATTGTTCGTTTGACCATCTACAGTTAAATATTTTAAAACAGAAAATGAAATTACTAGAATAAGATCTACACAAATCGTTTTATCATGATTTTGAGAATTTTGTTTTGAAAGCCCTTATTGACACTGAAATTTTAGGAAACTTTATGTACCATAGATATTTTGTATACATTGTTTTGAAATGAGTAAGTATGCCATTTAAGTATAGTGCCAGTATTTTTTGAATGTAGATTGTGTAACAGTCCTGGGGAAACATCTGTAGGAGAACTGTCCTTGCCCTCAAGGAGCCCTCAGTTTAATAGTGGAGATAGTGATTAGAGCAGGCATCCCCAGACTATGGCCATGGGCTGCATGCGGCCCCCTGAGGCCATTTATCCGGCCCGCACTTCAGGAAGGCACACCTCTTTCATTGGTGGTCAGTGAGAGGAGCACAGTCTGTGGCGGCCCTCCAACGGTCTGAGGGACAGTGAACTGGCCCCCTGTGTAAAAAGTTTGGGGACACCTGGATTAGAGTGTGTTAAAATGTATGTGGAGACTGCTCAGATACTGCCCTGTAATAGAGGGTCAGGTGGTAGACATCTGGTTTCATACATATGATGTACCAATTTGCCTCATGGAAAAAGTCCAGCACAGAGCTATTGAAAGTATGGTGTGAAGACTGGTGCTGGTTCTTGAACCAGTCCTAGATAGGACAGAAAATGGCGTTAAGTGTTTAGAAACTTTAGTTGCAGTTTGACATCGCGACATTCTTACTGTATTTTACAAAAGTATCTGCAGCTCTGCAGTGGCTCAGGCCTGTAATCCCAGCACTCTGGGAGGCAGAGGAGAGATTGCTTGAGGCCAGGAGTTCAAGACCAGCCTGGGCAATAAAGCGAGACCCTGTCTCTATATTAAAAATATATGTATATATGTAGAATAAAATAAAAATATCTGCAACAGATTAGACATTAAAAGCTGGCTCTTTTTCAGCTGAGACATGTACTTCTTGAGCACATTTTGGGCCTAACTACTCTTTATTCTCAGTTAAACTGAATATTGCAAAATCATACAGTGTAGATTACTCCCCGTTTGTATCATGAGTTATCACTTTATTGCTATAGATTAAATGAATGCTAGTTGAGCAAGCTAGCATAGTGTTACAGAAAAACAGACTGTGGCAGCATATGACTTGATTCGTATTCTAATTCTAGCATCTGTGAGCCTGTTTACATTTTGTAATAGAATAATGTATCTCTTACTAGGATTGTTTGGAAAATTAAAGAGATAATGGATAAGCAATAATAGTGCCTGGCACATGATAATTGTTAATAATTAAGTAAGGCCGGGCGTGGTGGCTCATGCCTGTAATCCCAGCACTTTGGGAGGCTGAAGTGGGTGGATCACGAGGTCAGGAGATCAGGACCATCCTGGCTAACATGGTGAAATGGCCCATCTCTACTAAAAATACAAAAATTAGCAGGGCATGGTGGCACACGCCTGTAGTCCCGGCTACTCAGGGTGCTAAGGCAGGAGAATTGGTTGAACCAAGGAGGCAGAGATTGTAGTGAGCCACTGCACTCCAGCCTGGGCAACAGTGTGAGACTTCGTCTCAAAAAATGAATGAATTGAATGTAAAAAACAGAGTGCCTTTTTACCCAAGGTCAAAACATAATTCTGTGACCAAATTGGGATAAAGAATCCAAAGATTCTAAAATTGGTCCTGTACCCACCCTACCGTGGTGATTGTGTACTTTAATATTTTTCTGAATACTGGAGTGTAGAATCTTTTTGATTTCAGTATTTCTAATTTATGGAAGCATTTCTGTATGTGCAAAATTGTTATAAAATTATACTTTCATAATTTTCCATTAAAGCAACACTTAAGCGTATTTTATCAGTATATCTTGTAGATATGTTTTAAAATTTCCTATTTAATAGTGTGAGCAATTAAGAAAAAAATGTTTTAATTTCTGCTTTCAAACACGTTTTTGAATTAACATTTAGGAATGGATACAGCAGAACAATATCTTATCCATAGTGTTGCGAGATAGTCTTCATCAACCACAGTATGTAGAAAAGCTAGAGAAGATTCTTCGTTTTGTCATCAAAGAAAAAGCTCTGACCTTACAGGATCTTGATAATATCTGGGCAGCACAGGTAAGGAATTTAAGATGATGGTTATTTAGTTTTTAAAATAAAGATACTAAAAAGTGAAGAAATACAGTAGCTGTTATGAAATGGTTGCAGGCTTGTATTGTTTGACTTTGAGAACATTTAAATGCTTGTTCCCCTGCCAGGAATCTTTTTGAAATAACCAGTAATCTTTTAAAAATAAAAATATTTTTTTGTTTGTATTTCATAAAGGTTGAGAATTTGTTAGTGGTTTTAAATAAAGATGCAAACAGTAAAATCATAAGGAATGTCGGTTGAAAAAGTGTAAAGACATCTGTAATTGGTTTCTTCATAGACTTACTAGAAAGCAAAAACTTCCAGTGTCAGACTTAAATCTTTATAAAGACCTATAATAATTGTTCCAGAGAATTTATTAACTCTTTGGAAGGATTAGTAACCTTTTTAGTTTTTGAGTTGCAAACTACAGCTCCTTCTATTATCTTAATGACAGTTTTCTACTCGTGGATTTCTTGGGAAACATTATTGAGTTGTAGATTATAAAGCTTTGGGGGTTTTTTTAGTCTATAAAAACCAAGAAAACAGTTTTGCCTTGATTGCTTAAGGTCCCAGTTTTGAAACAGTATTGTTAGTGTGCCTTATTTTTCTATTCGCAATATTAAAATTGGCATGTTAAATTGTAATAAAGGTTTTTATGAACCACCAGAGTACACATTAGCTGTATTTATTATATCATTAAATTAAGTGGCCAGGTTTTAGATAGCAATTCTAAAGCATTTTATAATGTTAGATTCCCCCCCCCCCCCCCAAAACAGAGTTTTGCTCTGTCACCCAGGCTGGAGTACAGTGGCTCAATCTCAGTTCCCTGCAGCTTCTGCCTCCTGGGTTAAAGTCATTCTCCTGCCTAAGCCTCCTAAGTAGGTGGGTTTACAGGCACCTGCCACCACACTCCACTAAGTTTTGTATTTTTAGTAGAGACTGGTTTTCACCTTGTTGGCCAGGCTGGTCTCGACTCCTGACCTCAAGTGATGTGTCTGCCTTAGCCTCCCAAAGTGCTGGGATTATAGACATTCGCCACTGTGCGGGCTGTGTTAAGAATTTTCTTGTGTTACAGTTAAATGAAAGAGATAGGAGTACTTTATTAACAGTTGTCAGCAAGCAGTGTATACTATTTAATCTGTTACTCAGATTCTAGTGTTTTGTGATTTTGTTCTTGTTTTTCATTAGGCAGGAAAACATGAAGCCATTGTGAAGAATGTACATGATCTCCTGGCAAAATTGGCATGGGATTTTTCTCCTGAACAACTTGATCATCTTTTTGATTGTTTTAAGGTAATTGTTAACATAGCAAAATATTACCATTCTATTTCAAATAGAATTGATTAATTAGATCTGTGAGTTATTCCTAGCCAGTAAATACGTAACTAGAAATCCCATTAAACAGTCTGTGGTATGAAGTAATTGGCCATTGTTTTCTTTTCCAACGAGAACTTGATCATCATTTTCATAATAGCCCCCATAAGGGAAACTCAGGCTATCACTTTTTCTTTCCCCTGGCAGTTTCTATTTTAGTTACAGGTTCAAGCAAATTTTAGGACTACAGGGAAGGATGATTGGTTGCAATAAACAGTAAGATGACAGCAAGGGATTACCAATATCTTGGTATTCTGGGGTTATATGCACAAGCAAAATATGAATTAATCAAAATATAACTGATAAGATAGCCCAACAACCTCTACAGTCATATCTACATTGATGCCATCATGTTGCTTTTTGAGGCCATGTTGTGTAATATCTTTCATCAGTTGCCAGGGTTAGGTTTGTGAAAGCTCAAGTGGTCAGTGAATTTGTGGATTAAGAACATAAAGACCTTATGGCAATGTGCACTAAGGGCTGTTCTATTAACAACTGGCATTAGATCATTACGTCACCAAGGTTTCTTGTTAAAAATAACATACTGACTAGTGGGAACATAAATTGATATAGCCACTTTGGAAAATATTTGGTATTTAAGTTTAAGATTCTCATGACTCATCAACTTAACTTCTGAATATACTCTTGAGAAACTCATGCTTATGTACACCAGGATATGTGTTCAACAACACCTGTAGCAAAAAAAAAAACAACCCTGGAATGTTCATACAGTGGAAAATTCGGTAGCAATGAAAGAGCAACTCATCCACATGGATGAGTCTAATAAACAGAAGGTTGAAAAAAGGAATAAAGCCACACAGTAATTCATGTACCTTGGGTACATTAATGTAAAGTTCCGAAATAGGCACAGCTGGTTTCTGGGGTGTTGCTTACCATGTATTATTTTTTACCTGGGTACTAGTTACACAGGTGTTTACATTGTGTACTATAATAATGTCTGAATGTCTTAGGTCATACATCTTCATTTTAGAAGTGAGTTTTAATCAGGATCCTGATACGGTACATGTGTATGTCTTTTAAGTTTCTTAGAAATTAATCGTTCCTCTACCGTTTGACATTAGGTTCATTTCAGTTTACTGTCTATAAACACTGATTAGCAACTTAGTCCATTTTCTGCTGTTACAACAACAAAGAACAGAATTTTATTTGGCTTACAGTTCTGAAGGTTTGAAAGTGTAAGAGGCTTGGTCCCAGCTTAATGTGAGTTTTGGAGGGGACATTCGAACAGCAGCAGTAATTTTACACGTAAGGCTTTTCCCATATTGCTTAGCAACATCCCCAGCCTCTACTCAAAAAATGCCATCAGTACCCTACCCTTCCCCTAGTATAGTAACCATGTTTTATTTCATTACTACTTCAGAGGTTTAAAAAAAAAAATGTATTTAAGAGTTTTTAATGGTGTGTGTCTTCTAAATTGAGATAATGTATCATTTATTTTTCTTTTTTGGAATTTAACTCTACCCTATAAAAAATACCAGGTTAGCTGTATTTTCAGATCTCATTGAATAATTCTGTGCTCAGCTATGTTGGTTTTCTGGTGAATTTGAATATTGTTAACCTGGTGGCAATTTATGAAGTGGTGACTATGTGTTGTTTTCATGTCACTTAATTTTTTTCTAGGCCAGTTGGACAAATGCAAGTAAAAAGCAACGTGAAAAGCTACTTGAGCTAATACGTCGTCTTGCAGAAGATGATAAAGATGGTGTGATGGCACACAAAGTGTTAAACCTTTTGTGGAATCTGGCCCACAGTGATGATGTGCCTGTAGATATCATGGACCTGGCTCTCAGTGCCCACATAAAAATACTAGATTACAGTTGCTCCCAGGTAAGGGTGTACTGCTTTGCTCTCTTTTTGTGACCTTTCCCCTTCAGTTAGAGGGGTTAGTTACAGGATCGTTTTGTATTACTCTGACATTGTTAGTTTTTGAATGATTTTTCAGAATTGACATTTTTGGTCATTAGTCTGCCTTAGGATCAAGGCATCAAGGTTTTGTGACTCATCTGAAAAGCATTTTAATCTCCTTGGGAGAAAGTATAAACAGAACAGATTGTACAGTGGTGGTATTATCAAGTGTATGGTTCTGAAATGCCAGTTTTGAATAGATCATAAAATATTAAAGCTGATTAGGGACTTTAGAGGAAAGAGAAATTAGGTTTTCTTGCCTCATAGGGAAGTTAAGAAAAATTAGTAGAATATCCTAACTAGTAAAACATTTATTGCCTCCACAATGAGCAAATCACACAATTTCCCTACATTCTAATTTGTAGCATTTGTATTTTTTAACACATGGTAAAGTGAACATTGCTGAGTAATTTTTCACTTGTTAATAAAAACTATTTGTTACATTGATGAACTGGCATTTAGGTAAGAGCTAAGAAAAGCTCAGGAAGGTATATTAATGTAGATACTACTCAGGTTTTGACTATGCTTACTTGAGACAGTTTAAGTATTTATTCACCAAATTAAATAGTGATAATTCATTAAACCAAGGGTTCTTCTGAGGAGTCTTGAATCAAAGCAGCACATTTGCTATCAGGGATTTTAACTAGTAACTTCTCTTTTAAATATCTATTAGTATCAGTGCCTGGCATAGTGTTTTATACATTCATTCATGAATAGGTACTGGATTTCATCGAATTTAGTAGACTTTGCCTTTTTTCAGCTTCAACTTTCATTTATTGTTTGGGAAATAAATTTTTAAAAGTCATTCTCCAACTGCCTCTTTTTTCCCTTCTGCTTGCCAAGACTGCTGTCAAAGTGTACAGTTGATCATAAATTTTTTCGTGACCTTAAAAAGGTATACACTGTTAAACCCAGCAATTCTACTTAAAAAAATTTCTTCTCAGAAATTGTGAAAAAGGATACAAAGAGGTATCCACAAGGACATTCATTAGTGTTTGTAGACGTGAACATGTGGAAGCCTCCTTAATAATTACTTTTTGTTTGAGATGGAGTCTCACTCTGTCGCCCAGGCTGGAGTACAGTGGCATTATCTAGGCTCACTGCAACCTCTGCCTCCTGGGGTCAAGCTAGTCTCCTACCTCAACCTCCCCAGTAGCTGGGATTACAGGTGTGTGCCACCATGCCCGGCTGATTGTTTTGTAATTTTAGTAGAGATGGGGTTTTGCCATGTTGGCCAGGCGGGTCTCGAACTCCTGACCTCAAGTGATCCACCCATCTGAGCCTCCCAAAGTGCTGGGACTACATACAGGCATAATAATAGTTTATGTGAGGTTGTATTATGCAGCCATTAAAAGGATTATTGATGTAGAAAGACTTTTACTGATGTAGAAAATGTTTAGTGTATATAATTTAAGAGTATCATTTTAATTTTGCTACCAAAAAAGGAATATCTGTATATTACAGAATAACTCCAAACTTGAGGAGTTTAAGGGGGAAAAAAAAAAAAAAACTCCACAAAATTGTTTTTCTTTCCCTGTTTGCAAAAATAAAACAATCCAAGCTTACAAAATTGTTAGACACACAAACTTGCAGTTATTGATTACTATTGACTTTAGGGAAAGAGGTGAAGGTAACTAATGTTTGAGAAGTAAAATACCATAATAGAAATAATTTTGAGTTTATAACATTAATTTTTGACTTTATATCTGTTTCTGTCCCTTTTCTCTCCTTGTATGTATGTTTCTTTATTTTTATTTTGGTGATTATTTTTAAATGTAGTTGCCATTCTATTTTCTTAGTAAAATACACATTTTTAGTGTTCTTCACTGTACTAAAACTTGGCCCATTTAGAGTAACAATGTGTTGTTATATATTAATTACGGATTTTGTGATACGGTAGAATCTCTTAAAATACTGGATAAAACTCAATACCTACCCTCTGGCAAACTTGGAAAATCAAACTTTCTGTCAGTGTGCCTAATACTTAGGATCTGTAATGTGTGTAGATATATTTCAGTCCATATAATACTTAGCTTTTATAATAGTGCTGTACTTTTTGGAGTTTTGGTAGTAAATGTGAAATACAAACATAACGCTTTTATTATTATTTAAATTAAACTCTTTACTGTAACTACAACATGATGCTTGTGTTGCCAATCTTAAAAGAAAAGCTTTTATTTTATAATTCTCAAAATAATTTGAAAATGAAATTCTCCTATCAATCTACTTAAAACATTGAAATCATTTGTTTAAGGACCGTGATACACAAAAGATCCAATGGATAGATCGCTTTATAGAAGAACTTCGCACAAATGACAAATGGGTTATTCCCGCACTGAAACAGATTAGAGAAATTTGTAGTTTGTTTGGTGAAGCGCCTCAAAATTTGAGGTAAGACTTTTTAACATAGGAAATTACAGTATTTAAATTTATGTACTTTATTGAAAAGAAACAGCGTATCAGCTGGCAAATACAAATTAAAATTAGTGGAGTGAGAAGAGGCTATATAAGAAATGTTTGTTTGGAACAAAAGAATCCTTTATTATGTCTACCTCCTTTGTTTTATTAATGAGGAAGTAAGCCACAGTTAAGTGATAAATATCGAGAATCAAGATGATATTTCCTTTGGGTTCTTGGTTTGAAATTATTACTATGTACATGCTATATTTCTAGCAAGTATGCCAGAAAGTTTCATGGCATGTGTTTAAAGTTGGATTAGACCACAAGGACATTTAAATTGATGAAAGATGACAAGATACAGTTTCATAATTTTTAAACATTTATTTTAGCGAAATTTTAATAGCTATCTTTATACTATCTTAGGTGTCAAATTCTAGTTACTGAAATAATTTGTCCTTCTATTGAGAAAGCAGGGTGCAGTAGAAAGAATATTCACAGTGGAGTCAGGATTCATAGGTGTGAATCTTGTGTCAAACCAGGAATTTAATCTTGTAAAAATTCTGTAAAGAATCATGTTTGGCCGGGCATGGTGGCTCACCTCTATAATCCCAGAACTTTGGGAGGCTGAGGAGGGCAGATCACCTGAGGACAGGAGTTCAAGACCAGCCTGGCCAACATGGCAAAACCCCGTGTCTACTAAAAAATACAAAAATTAGCCAGGTGTGGTAGCATGTGCCTATAGTCCCAGCTACTTGGGAGGCTGAGGCACTAGAATCACTCGAGCCCAGGAAGCAGAGGTTGCAGTGAGCTGAGATTGCACCACTGCCTTCCAGCCTGAGCAACAAAGTGAGACTGTCTTTAAAAAAAAAGAAAAGGAAAAAATTATGTTTTCTTTACGTGTAAGATTAAATGATTGCCAAGGTCCTTTACAGCTCTAGATTACTATGATTATACCTAAGACAGAAAAGGTCATGTGTATGTCTTTAAACAGTTGAACTTTGTCTCATTTCTTCCCCCCCAACCCCAGGGCTAGAAAAAATTATCAAATTGGAAAAGTGTGGAGATAAACAGTATTAAGAAGTTGAGACATGTATCTCATTAACAATGTTTATTTGAGGGGCATATTTTGAGTATGTTTGGCCCATTGTACATGTGCCTTTCAGCCTTTCTCAGATGAATGCATTTATCTGTCGAAGTAGACACAGTAGTTCACATGTTCTCCCAAGGAACAGTGGCTTTGTCTCCACTAAAATAGTAGTTTTGGCTGTGAAAGTTGGTTGGTTTCAGTGAAGGTAGCAGAACAGATTAGTCTTTGTGGTGACACCTACACCTATGGGCAAACTTGGCTACAAACCAAGTGTTCCAGGATGTTTTCTTAAATAGCTAATAAATAAAATTTTACTGAAAGCATTTTCTTTGATTAAATTCTTCATTACAACTATAGCGTAGTCTTACAAAAAATGTTTCTATTTCATAATTTTGGGAATAATTACGTAACACCAAGCACTTTGGTATTATTGAAGTATAGAAATTAGTCTTTGAGGTATACTCCCATTTGGTAAAGTTGGAGAATACTGATGGATGCTTTTTGTGTAAAATAAGAGTAATGTAATAAATGTCTCATTTTTTAAAGAGTTTTAAGTTGGTTGTGATTTTTCATTAAAGTAAATGTACAAAAGTATAATTTTTACGTTTTTAATTCAGTAGCTAAGAATTTAGATAGTACAAACTCTTCTGATTACAACAGAGCTTAATTGCCTAATTATATTGTTAAGTTCTTCTCGTTTCAGTCAAACTCAGCGAAGTCCTCATGTGTTTTATCGCCATGACTTAATCAATCAACTTCAACACAATCATGCCCTAGTTACTTTGGTAGCAGAAAACCTTGCAACTTACATGGAAAGCATGAGACTGTATGCTAGAGGTATGTATTGTAAGCTTAAATGAGCTATGGGAAATAACAGTGACTCTTTTTGCATTAATTATCTTAGAAATATAAACCATGTTCCTTTATGGGTTTAAGATCCACTATTACTCCCATCTCTTAGACAACCTAAACTGTAGGCCAGCGTTTTAAGGCTCTTCACTAAGTGCTTGCCTTCTTGTATTCTCCTTGTTAAGTAAATTTTTCTTCCCTGCCTTGGGAGCTCTGCCTGCCTTTATTACAATTCATTGCTACCTTCTTAGGAATGTATTTGACTCATTTTCAGCCTTTATGTCCTTTACCTCTACCTTTAGCTTTTTAACAGGAAACTTGTTTTGTCTAAATCTGTTCTTACATTATAATTCTTTTATAATCCCAAGCTGGTGTTTTGTAAGTGCTTCAAGACTTCATGAATTTAACAATCATAAGAGTAGAGATGGGAGGCTGGCTGTAAGAATCTAGATGGCATTCAAAATGTGAAATTGTTTGAACATGTTTAGGATAAAGTTTCCTATGATTTCAACAGACCCTGATTTTAAGTGCCTGCCGTATGTGGAGCCCAGTGTCAGTGCTCTTTTGCCCTCTGACAGTTGTGTCAATCTGTGTGTGTAAGAGTAGGGGTGGCTTCTCAGTATATTCCTCCTCTGTCTTATGACAAATTCATGCCCCCTTCCCTATTGATACTTCATAGTTTCAAGTTTGTTTCCAGAGCAATATATAAGAAAATACTGTATTACCAGTGTTAATGATAGAGTTAAGCATACTGATTACTCAACTTACCATTCATTTCACATGTTATGTAGAAATCGTAGAAGCTTATAGTATGTTAAAAATGAGAATATTTATAATACTCATTATTTGAGGAGTAGACTTTTGACATTGTTGAATAAAATCCCCTGGTGCTTACGAATTACCAGATTTTTGCTTAGTGCTTACATACATTTCCCAATAAAACTGAGATAAACGTAAATATTAAGCAGCTCTTCTGATATTCTCAGTGATAGTGTTGACTGTTCTTCCATTTATCCCCTTGGGGCCAATAGATTGTAAGCTATACAAGCAATATAAGTGTTAGGCAGCTGATGAGCAACAGGCAGTGATCTTAGCATTTCAGTCCTAGGTTCCTTCTAAGCAGTATAATAGAACGACCAAGGCAATACAGACATACAGCCATGCGATTTATGTTCTATGCCAAAAGCACTCAAAATCAGTGATATAAACAAGAGGTTTATATGTAGTATACCCAAGCATTTGGGTGTAGTATAATATAACCAGACTTTTTGTTAGGATTATAATCTCTTCCTGGTGGTACAAAGCCCTCATGGTTGCCAAGGAGGGCTCCCCAGAGTGGAGCCAAATAGTTGATATGTGCTTTAATGCTAATTTTTATTTACTTCATTTGCATGTGGTGTTTAATTTCATTGTCAGAGTTGGGGACCCTACTGTCTCACTAGGGTTTTCTGGTACATTTTGATACAATTCTACATGAGCCTCATTCAACATTGTCATAGGAATGATTACATTCTTCAGTTTCCCCTCCTTATGTTGTCTGTATACCTGCAAACCAAGAGATATGAGTCTGCATAGTCAGATTGCGTAGGTCTGAAACATGACCCAAACATTAGCTGTACGACCATGGGCAGGTTATTTATGCTAGAATAATGTCTAGCATATAGTAGATTCCCCTCTGAATTTATTAACAACATACCTTTTATTTCTCCCAACCTTGGTATCTTCTCTTCTCCCAATTTATTACACTACTCTTGATTAATACTGATGAGTCTGCAGATACTTAAATATGGGGGTAGGGGGAAATAATATTTAAAACTAGTAGAATTCTTCTATTTTTTTTTTTTTTTTTGAGACAGAGTTTTGCTCTTGTTACTACCCAGGCTGGAGTGCAATGGCGCGATCTCGGCTCACCGCAACCTCTGCCCCCTGGGTTCAGGCAATTCTCCTGCCGCCTCAGCCTCCTGAGTAGCTGGGATTACAGGCACGTGCCACCATGCCCAGCTAATTTTTTTGTATTTTTAGTAGAGACGGGGTTTCACCATGTTGACCAGGATGGTCTCGATATCTTGACCTCGTGATCCACCCGCCTCAGCTTCCCAAAGTGCTGGGATTACAGGCTTGAGCCACCGCGCCCGGCCCTAGAATTCTTCTATTAAAACAAACTTTTTACAATGTTAAATCACTTCTGTGGTAACGTCATCCAGTAACATTTCTGAATTTGCAATTCTAAAGTAAACTGTGAGGTTTGCCTCTGTAATAAAAGTGTTGGATGAATCCCATTTGATATGAGGCATATTACTTGGCAAGATAACATCAGGCTTCCGCAGTTCACTGATGTTCTCAATTTCTGATAACCATTTTAGCAGTGGTTTGTCCTGCCTGTATTTTATTTTCACTAGCATCTTTAGCTTTGGGGGGAAAAACATTTTCTCAGTAAGCATGATCAGCTGATTTTTACCTCCTATAAACATTTAGGTAAAAGAATGAACTTAGTAAAATTCTTTACAGTATTTATTCTTGTTCTCATTTACAAGTGCTTTCATACACTGGTGCTTACACAAATCATTCTTTAAAAGTTTTTCATATGCATACAGTAAAGTATAAACTACCTTTTAGTTTTCATTCAAGTTTTAACTCATTGGTAGAATAGTCATTGTACTGACTTCACTACTTACTGAAAGTTTAATTAACCGTTTTTTCTTGTTTCTGGATAGAGTCAGATAACACAACTTCACTGTAGGTCAGATTTTTGCACTCCGTTTGCTTAGGACTGCCACTTCTTCCCAGTCTTTTCCATCCAACAGTGACAGTTTTTAGGAACGTTTTCCACAGAAAAAGATTTCTTTATGAGTGTCATTCATCAGCACTGCTCTGTTAGGATGCAAATCCTGTGCTACATTTTCTCAATTCGGACTCATTCCTACACATCAACCATGAAGTACTATTAAGTCTGTGTGGCTTCTTTTTGGTTTAAAAATAATTGAGTATTACCCATTTTGTGAACAATTTATACCTTCCTGGAGAAATGGCTGTTTCAAGGCCTGCAGCAGGGAAAGTACAACATGATCCTTGATCATCCTATTCCAGAAAGTAAGAAAGTGCTCAACAATTATGTTGACATGTCAAAAGGACACAGGATTTGGGCTTTCACTTGCCGTAATTAGATCAAAAATTAGTAATGAAAATAAAATAGGAAAATATTAATATAAACAAAAATGCCAACTAACAGATGTAGAGTATATGATGAAAATAAACCCAAGGGGGTGAGGATTTTCATGTCTGGAATGACAGAGTAAAATGCTCAGCAGCAGACCTTAACAAAACAACCATTTAATTGGAGAAAAATATAAAAAATAGTCATTTAAAGTGCCTGAAAATGGTCCTAAGGGAGTATAGCATATGGGGGGAAACACTCAAGAAAATCTATTGTCAGAAAAACAGCAAGAGTCTGTAGCATTTGAGCCACAACTTATTCTCTTCTCTCTATGCTCTCAGATACAACTTTCTTGTGTGGAAACTCCACTCCAGGCAGGTGTAACTAAGAATTGGGGGCTCCCCATGGCCGCCAGTCTAGGGCTATAGTTTGACCACACGAGGTGCAGTCTGCTGGCATTTCTGATCCTTTTCAGTACTATGTGGCAGAAGCTCTGTTCCAGGCAGTCACGTCCAAGAAAACAGACTCCTTTACCCCACTCAGTGCCTACTTGTAGTGCAAATGCTTTACCTAAGGCATAACAGGCTGAGAATACCGGGGCTCTGATTATCTCCAACCTAGCTTGCTCACAGGGTGGAAATTGTATGTCAGGGAGTGCAATCTGAGAAAATCAGAGAGTTTGATCCCACCCCTCAACACCGGCACCATTTCTTAAGGCAGAAACATCATGTTGGGAGAAGTTAGCTGCTATCCTGCCTTCATCTCCTGTATAGTAGCATAGATGTTTTGGCCAGATGGAGAGAGAAGGGGTGAGTATGCTGTGCTCAGTAGTTCTGCTTGAAGGGACCAACTTTCTTTGGACCAGACCATGCCATGCCTAAGGGTATTATCACAAATGGAGTTTTGGGTGAAGAAGAATTACGAGAGTCCTTGTGGCTCCCTTGTACTGGTATCAGCAAGTCACACAGATGAGCAACCAGAAGTTTAACAGAAAGATAATAGATAAAGAGCCAAGACAAACCCTCTTGTGATCACAGTTAATCTTGGGGGTCAAGAATGCTATGTGTACACATTAGGCTGCACCTACGCAGAAACAATCAGAGCTGGACACGGGACAGATTGAAAACATTCCCCAAGCTGCATGTTGATCCATCAGCAAAGGGTGAAAGCTTCACCAACACAGGGGACTTAAATACATCTTTGACCAAACAGATCACTGGATGAATAATAAGCTACCCTGACTCAGGGATAACTCTTCGGAAGCCAGATGTGAAAATTACATGTATCCCTGGCAGTATGGAAGACTGTGTACATATTCAAGACTGCATCTTTGCTGGAGTGATTGAGAAGGGATCATGCAAGCTACTAGTCTCTGACTGAACATAGGACAAAAACAAACTTTTTGAGTGGTGTGTTAGTGGCCTCTAAGCCACACAGACATCCAGTGGCAAAGGGTAAAAATCTAGTCAAGGAGGCTTAAATAACAGTGTTTGGCCAATAAGGGGCTTATACTGACCCAGGAGCAATTCTTAGATAGGCAGGCTAAAGGGTTAAAAGAAGGGGGAAAACATCTGGGCAGACCTATCAGAGGATATACACTGTGAGGGAAATAGACTTCATAGACTTAGCCCAGTCACTAAACAAGCAAGCAAATGAGTGGGGGAAGGGAAATCAGTATTCAGGTTGTTGCAGTATATCCAATTCCAGATTTTGTTGACAAAAATCGAGGCATGCAAACAAATGGGAAGATTTGACCTGTAGACTGACACAAAAACTACCTTTGGACGAGACCAGATGGAGGGCTTTGTTAGACTTGACAGCAAAAACTTAAATTAGGAATATGCTCCTAGAACTGAAGAAAACCATGTCTAAATATCTAATCTAAATTGGATAGTAAAGAGAAATTTTATTTTAAAAATCATGTAGAAATTTTGTACTTAAAAAGTATTACCAAAATGTAATATTCATAAGAGGGGATAAACAATAGATTTGAGCTGGGAGAAGAATGAATCAGTAAACTTGAAGATAGATTAGTGGAAATTATGCAGTCTAGCCAGGCATGGTGGCTCACATCTGTAATCCCAGTACGTTGGGAGGCCGAGGTGGGTGGATCACAAGGTCAAGAGATTGAGACCATCCTGGCTAACATGGTGAAACCCCATCTCTGCTAAAAATACAAAAAAATTAGCTGGGCATAGTGGTACACACCGGTAGTCCCAGCTACTCAGGAGGCTGAGGCAGGAGAATCGCTTGAACCCGGGAGACAGAGGTTGCAGTGACCTGAGTTCGTGCCATTGCACTCCAGCCTGGGTGACAGAGTGAGACTCAAAAAAAAAGGCAATCTGAAGAACAGAGAAAAAGTGAAAAGAATATCAGGAAAATACCGGGTACCGTGAAGGGGACCAACATACTTACAATGGGAATACCAGAAGAATGAGAGTGACAGAAAGAGACATAGTCACTGAAAATGTCCCAGATTTGATAAAAGATAAGAAGCTCAAAGAATTTCAAATAGGGTAAATGCAAAGAGCTCCAGGCTGAGATACATTATAGTCAAAGAGAACAGTTAGAAAGTAGTAAGAGAAAAATGAGTCCTGCACAAAGAAACCCCAATAAAAATTAACAACTGATTTCTCATCAGAAATATTACAGTCAGAAGGTAATAGGACAACATACTCAAAAGTGCCAGGGTTAGGGGACAGACCTGACAACCAAGAATTTTACATTCAGCAGAACCATCTTTAAAATCTGAAGGCAAATTAAAGAAATTCCCAGATAAAGACTGAGAGAATTTGTTGCCCTAAGACCTGGCTTATGAGACATCTTAAAAGTAGCTAGGCTAAAAACAAGTGACATCAGGTAGTGAGAGTATTCCAAATTTGCCGAAAGTATTCAAAAAATACTTGAATGCTGTGTAAACTAGCAGTCCCCAGCATTTTTGGCATCAGGAACGGATTTTGTGGAAGACAGTTTTTCCATGGACGTGGGGGTGGGGGACTCACAAGCAAGGTGGTAATGCTCACTCATCTGCCACTCACCTCCCACTGTGTGGCCCCGTTCCTAACAGGCCACAGACCTAACAGACATCTGTGGAATACTTCATCCAACAATAGTAGAAACTACTAAAACCACATATCTTAATAGATGCAGAAATAAAGCATTTGTCCACTCCAACCTCTTTTCAATTAAGGCTCAAACTAGGAATAGAAGGGAACTTCCTCAGCCTGATCAAGAGTATCCAGAAACACCAACAGCTAACATCATACTAACTAATGGCAAAAAGACTGGTTGCTTTCCCCTGAGGATCAGGAATGAGACAGTGATGTCCACTTCAGCCACTTCTATTTAACATTCTGCTTGAGGCATTAGCCAGGGTAACTAGGCAAGAAAAAGAAGTAGACAACCCAATTAAGAAATGGATGCAAAGGATCTGAATAGAAATTTTCTGCAAAGAAGGTATATAAATGGCCAATGAGCTCTTGAAAAGGTGCTGAGTATTATTAGTTATTAGGGGAATGAAAATTAAAACCACAGTGAGATAATACTACTTTATACCTACTAGGGTGACAAAAGATAAATGTTGGTGAGGCTAGGGAGAAATTAGAGCCTTTGTATGTCCCTTTTGGGATTGTAGAGTGGTACAGCCACCTTGCAAAATGTTAAACATAGAATTTGGTGTATTACCCATTCCCAGTTACATACCGAAATGAAATGTATACATAAATCTGTACCATGTGAATGGACTTATAAAACATTATGCTAAGTGGTTTTGAAAAAATCCATCAGAAACGACTACATATTGCATGATTCCTCCCCCCCACCTTTTTTTTTTTTTTAAGTTGAAGTCTCACTCTGTTGCCTAGGCTGGAGTGCAGCGGCACCAACCTCCTGACCTTAGGGGATCTGCCCACCTGGGCCTCCCAAAATGCTAGAATTACAGGCATGAGCCACCTCATCCAGCCTTTCTTTTTTTTTCTTTTTTCTTTTTTTTTTCTTTCTTTTTTTTTTTTTTTTTTTTTTTTGTTAAAGAGTGACAAGGTCTTCCTATTGCCCAGGCTTGAGTACAGTGGTGTGATCATAGCTCACTGCAGCCTGGAACTCCTGGCCTCAAGCCATCTGCCCGTCTCAGCCTCCCAGGTGTACGCCACCACATCTGGCCTTTTTGTTTGTTTGTTTGTTCTCCTTAAAGAAAAAAACAGGGTCTCCCTATATTGCTCAGGCTGGTCTTGAACTTCTGGCATGAAGCGATACTACTGCCTGGGCTTCCCAAATTGCTGGGATTACAGGCAAGGGCTAAAACTTGACTTTCTTTTCAGTTTCTTAAGAAAACCTCTTCAAGTAGTCCTTTAAGTCCCAATGTTGATGAAATTTACATTCATGAAGTAGACCATGTTTATGCCTGTTTGCATATTCCAATATATGTGGAATTAGAAAGTAGTTGGTCGTAATATGTGGGGATTTTTTTCTTTATCAAAGCATCAAAACCAAATGTTTCCAGACATTATGAATGTCCCATCTTTGTAGCACATCAAGAGTTTGTTCAGAGAAGCAACATCAATGTTTTGAACACTTTGATTACCAATATCCAAAGGAGCTCACATAATTAGAATCTTTAAAAATAACTTGCACTTATCATAGGGTCTGGGATCTGATACAGAAATACAGTAATTAATGCTGAAGGAAAATGACACATTTGTGGACATTAATAACATGGTAATAATGATTATATGGTAAGTTGGTCATGTAGAGTAGCATCTTGTGTTACCCTCACTTCCTGGGTGTAAAGTAGTATTTTTATGCCAAAATCTTTTTTTCTTCGTGAAAATACCTTTCAGTATAACAGGTAAGCAATTGAAGAAAAAATTTTTGTCTTATCAGTTCACATTCACAGACCATTTAAGTCCGTCTTAGGCTGCAATCATAAATTACTTCATTGTGTGCGAAGGTTGCACGAAGGGGTTGTGCTGAAGAATTATTTTTGATAGCACATCGAACGTTCCTTTGGTTATGTAACAGGAAAGTATTTTTATGAGGAAAACAGTAGATGGATAAAAACCACCAATTAGTAGAATTTAGGTTGCCTTTTAATGATAAAGGATTAATGACATTTTAACTGACCTGGTTTCTTAGGTTGAAGTCAGCAGTGATTTGGTTTATCCATGTGTATAATGCATGATTTTTTCTTAATTTGCAGACCATGAAGATTATGACCCACAAACTGTGAGGCTGGGAAGTAGATACAGTCATGTTCAAGAAGTTCAGGAACGGCTTAACTTCCTTAGGTTTGTTTTATACAATCAGTGTTGCTCTCTTTAAGAAGCAGATAAGAAATATAGAGTGAATACAAGGTCAAGAGATCGAGACCATCCTGGTCAACATGGTGAAACCCCGTCTCTACTAAAAATACAAAAATTAGCTGGGCATGGTGGCGTGTGCCTGTAATCCCAGCTACTCAGGAGGCTGAGGCAGGAGAATTGCCTGAACCCAAGGGGCGGAGGTTGCGGTGAGCCGAGATCGCGCTATTGCACTCCAGCCTGGGTAACAAGAGTGAAACTCTGTCTCAAAAAAAAAAAAAAAAAAGAAATATAGAGTGAATAGACTATATAGCTTGGTCTTTGTTGGTTGGCCTTTTCCCAAGTCATATAAGACATTTCTTTGTATTTGTTACTAAATACTTTACAATGATTGGCTCAGTTTTAACTTTCTTTGTTGCAGTATTTTAAGAGAACACATTTTTAACCTTAAGAGTTTATTTCTGTTCTTCGTATCTGTTTATGCTGAAAATAGTGGTGGTTTTTTTGTTTTTGTTTTTGAGACGGAGTCTTGCTCTGTTGCCAGGCTGGAGTGCAGTGGCACAGTCTCAGCTCATTGCAACCTTTGCCTCTCAGGTTCAAGCAATTTCCTCTGCCTCCACCTCCCAAGTAGCTGGGACTACAAGTGCACGCCACCACACCCAGCTAACTTTTGTATTTTTAGTAGAGACGAGGTTTCACCATGTTGGTCAGGATGGTCTTAATATCCTGACCTCGTGAACTGACTGCCTTGGCCTCTCAAAGTGCTGGGATTACAGGTTTGAGCACCATGCATGACCAGCCAGGAGGAGGACTAAGCTGACATAATGATGTCATGGACACTAAAGAAATGGGGACAAAAGGCTGCTAGACCAACACCTCAAAAGAGTGGGTTGAGTCTTTTGGTGCCTTGTTTATTATAACAGTGGCTGACAGGCAATCTAAAGTCATGTGTTAATGGCATAACTTCTGATTGGCACGAGGGAAAATGTTTATTAAGATAAAATGTAGTATAGGGCTATGTTTGCTCTACAATATTTAGCTTTTGGTGATTACACACTTACAGATGTGCAAAGTACCTTTGTTAAAAATTTCAGTTGTCAGGCTCTGTGGCTCACACCTGTAATCACAACACTTGGGGAGGCCAAGGTGAGCTGGTGGTTTGAGCTCAGGAGTTCAAGACCAGCCTGGGCAACATGGCAAAATCCCATCTCTATAAAAAATACAAAAATTAGCGAGGCATGGTGGTGCTCACCTGTAGACCCAGGTACTCGGGAGGCTGAGGTGGGAGGATCACTTGAACCTGGCAGGCGAAGGTTGTAGTGAGCTGTGATTGTACCACTGCACTCCAGACCCTGTCTCAAAAAAAACCTGTTTTTTTTTTTTGATGAGAGGTTTCTTTTGAATTCTAGAAAACAAATGTAGCAAAAGAGCTCAAGTGTGCTAACAGAAATGCCCAGATTATCACTGCTTTGTGAAATCTATTCCATTTATTATTTTGATAATGTATTCTGGAGACTTTTGTCCTGGACTGTGTTATAGATTTCTTTTGAGTTTGGCACTTATTTATGGAGAAAATTTGAAGTAGCTGCGTAATTTTAATTTGAGGAAAAATCTCTACCAAATTTTAAGAAATTTGGTATTGGTTTAAAGTGCATAGTTTTTCTGTGTGTTTTGTTTTTAACCACCTGGATAGAAGGACTTGCCTCACCACATTGAGAGTTACTGCCATTGTAAGTAGTCATTACTGATTGGCATGTGTTATATGTCTCTTAGGGTTACTAGAACAGAGAAGTGGTTTCAAGCCCTTTTGCATTTTAAAGTTTGGAATCAGAGGAACTGTTGTAGTTTTTACCCTTTTCGTACCTCTACGTGATCTATATCAACTAACTCAGGGGAGAGGAACCTGACTTTAATGCTTGCTGTGTGTTTGGCCTGTACCAGACACTTTATATTTGCGCCGAAGCAACACAGTTAAGCAGGTGTTATTCCTGTTTTTTGATCAATAAGAAAACCAAGATTCCAGTAGCTTAAAGTAGCTTGTTTGAAACCCCACAACCAGTATATGGTAGAATTGTACTACTCAACTAGGTCTCTTTTACTTAAGTCTGTGCTCTTCCTGTTAGACCAGTAGTTTTTTAGACCTGTGTAGGAGCTTTTAGGGCTTCTGAGTTAAGTTCCTTCAAGATTTCTGAACAGACAATAGGAAGTTTCCCATTTCTCCTTTCTTTTTCCTCTCACAACAACTGGAGCAGTTCTGCTTTTGTTTTATATATCAGATTTACAAATGGGATTTTTATTTGAATAAGGTTTTACGCCATCTTTTGGAAAAAAAAGAAAACCTTTGAAAATTTAAGCAGTTTTAATTCATAAATATTGATGGGTTAGTTATTTGTGAAAGTCACTTAATTGAATACCTCATTTTTCAATGGTGCTGTATGAGCAGGATGTTAAGTCTTGTTTTGAGACAGAATCTCACCCAGGCTATAGTGCAGTGGCACAATCTTTGCTCACTGCAATCTCTGCCTCCCAGGTTCAAGTGATTCTCATGCCTCAATTTCCCCTGTAGCTGGAACTACAGGCACAAGCCACCACACCTGGATAATTTTTGTATTTTTAGTAGAGACGGGGTTTCACCATGTTGGCCAGGCTGGTCTCCCCTTCATCCTCCCAAAGTGCTGACATTACAGGCATGAGTCACCACGCCCAGTCTAAGTCTTTCATTTTTAAGTCAAGCTATTAAATATGCTTTTTCCCAAAAGTCTGGTTTCAAAGACTAAATGGTTAAAAGTTCAGAGAACGAATCTTTTATTCATAATCAGCTGGCTGCATTTCAGGCACATAGTGGGTTTTCAGTTGTGTGCTTGTTGAATTAATATCTAGTGGGAATTTTTAAAATATCAGATAAAAGTAGAGAAATAGGTTCTTTTGAAAGAACCTATTATCTATATAGTTAAAATATAATGGTGGTAAATGTATTATTTTATATGTAATATAGATTGCCTTTTAGGATAAAAATTATATAAATCTAATTGCCAATTTTTTTTTTTTCAAGATTTTTATTGAAGGATGGCCAACTGTGGCTATGTGCCCCTCAGGCAAAACAAATATGGAAATGCTTAGCTGAGAATGCAGTTTACCTTTGTGATCGTGAAGCCTGTTTTAAGTGGTATTCCAAATTGATGGGAGATGAACCAGACTTAGATCCTGATATTAATAAGGACTTCTTTGAAAGTAATGTGCTTCAACTTGATCCTTCTCTGTTAACTGAAAACGGAATGAAGTGTTTTGAGCGATTCTTCAAAGCTGTGAATTGTCGAGAAGGAAAACTAGTAGCAAAAAGGAGAGCCTATATGATGGATGACTTGGAGTTAATAGGATTAGATTACCTTTGGAGGGTAAGTCAAAAGTAGGAACTCTGTAAATGGTGTCTGATATACTTTTTCAAATAAGTGAGGAATTGTAATTTTGCATATAAATTGTGCATTTTACTCTGATGCTTATCTCGGGAGTTTGGTATAGTTAATAATTGTTCATTTGTACTATTACATCATTTGTCAGTGGGCTTTTTCTTCTCTCTTCCTCTCCTTCCTCCTGCCACTGATGTTCATTTTGTCTTAGCTTAGAATCTGTGAGTTCCATAGACATGCACTAAACATACAAATCTTTCATTCCTCCCCTGTGGATATTAATGTTTCTTCCCAATTTTTCATTCAGTGTTGATCTGTTTCCTCCTCTTCAGTGTTTCACTGTAAAATAGAGGACAGAAGAGAGGACTTGTATTTAGTATAGATTATAAGTATATGCTTTATTGGTACTTTTTACCTTGTGATATTTTTAAATACCGGGGGGAACAAAATACTCTCTTTTTATACTATCTTAGGCTAATCTTTCTATTTTTGTAGTGCTAGATATTATATTATTCCTATCTTTAAAAGTCTGACCTGTTATACAGCAGTTTATATTGTTGTTTGGATATCTGTGAATTATTTTTCTGCAAACCATAGATAAAGATGTTTACTGTGGCATTTGAGTATTTCAAAGCTTTTCATTAAGTATGTGGTTTTCAACATTGTTTTAAACAGCAGAAAACCATCTTAAAAATCAAAATTTGCACCACACTACAAAATGTATACTGACTTGAACAAGGAAAACCTGTTTTCTTACTCGGTGTCCCCATGCTTACCCGCTTCCTCCTCCCCAACCCTTTTATAAAAGGGGTCAACCCTGAAACACATCCTCAAAGACCCCTAGGGTTCTAAACATAGTTTGGAAACCACTAATGTAATTAGATGAGTGATGAAGATTATTGTAGAGTAGTCCTTTATGTTAAACTGTGTTTCATGTAATCTCTTATTTCTTGCTAATGAATTTGAATTTATTCTTGAGTGTCTCACTTGGTTATCAAGATGTTAAATAATAGTGGTCAAAGCATATTTTATTTTTATAAAAATGTACCTTTCGTTCTTAAATTGTTTTATTCAGAGACTTTCATTTTACATTTATTATTTCTTTTGGTTTGTCCTCACTTAATTTTACTTGATAATCAAAGTCAGCTTACTGTTAAATCATTGAATAGTGTATTTAAAATAACTGATGATATAGTTTGAATTTAAATGCCCAACAAAAACATATGTTGAAAAGGATGAACACTTTTTTCATTTTGAAACCAGGTTGTGATTCAAAGTAATGATGATATTGCCAGCAGAGCTATAGATCTCCTCAAAGAGATATACACAAACCTTGGTCCAAGACTACAAGTCAATCAGGTGAGGATTGATGTGCATTAAAACTTCCATATATAATTCTTTCAGTCTCTATTTCTCTTATACAAAAGAGAAAAAATACTATTTAAATGAATCTTGCCTTGATAATTGTCTTGAAGTTACTGGGTTTGTTTTTTTGTTTGTTTGTTTTTGAGACAGAGTTTCACTCTTGTTGCCCAGACAGGAGTGCAATGAATGGCGTGATCTAGGCTCACTACAACGTCTGCCTCCCAGGCTCAAGTGATTCTCCTGCCTCAGCCTCCTGAGTAGCTGGGATTACAGGCATGCACCACTACACCCAGCTAATTCTGTATTTTTAGTAGAGACAAGGTTTCTTTATGTTGGTCAGGCTGGTTTTGAACTCCCGACCTCTGATCCGCTGCCTTAGCCTCCCAAAATGCTGGGATTATAGGCGTGAGCCACTGTGCCCAGCTGATTGGGTTATTTTTAATGTAGCTATTTATTACATGTCAAAATGACAAAGAAAGTCTATGTGAATTCATTTTGATGCTAACAACTAATCCTGAAGTTCATTTTTGACGATCTGGTTTATATTTGTTAACTTATGTAATGCTAGCTTTTTTTTTTTTTTTTAAAAGAAACATACATTTTATTATTATATGGATTCTCTACTTAAATATGACTTAATTGAATGCTATGTTTAAATTAGCCATTGCCATCTTTAATTGGATTAATGTTTAATTTTTACATTTTAAAGCAACTTTGTCTTTATTTGGTCTGTTACTTGTAGGTGGTGATCCATGAAGACTTCATTCAGTCTTGTTTTGATCGTCTGAAAGCCTCCTATGACACGTTGTGTGTTTTGGATGGTGACAAAGACAGTGTTAATTGTGCAAGACAGGAAGCTGTTCGAATGGTTCGAGTATTAACTGTTTTAAGGGAATATATAAATGAATGTGACAGTGATTATCATGAGGAAAGAACAATTCTCCCCATGTCAAGGTTTGTGAATAACTGATCTATTGGTGCCAATTCTTAATTATTTGATATTTTCCTAGCCATCTGGTAGAAAGAGAGCAGAAACTTTTCTTTGAAAATTGTTGTCCTTGCCCATTAAAAACATTTGCATCTCATAGAATTTTTTTTAATAACCTTCCCCACCCTCCCATCTGGTATTTTGTTTGGGTTTTTTGGGTGAAACATTCTTACTCAAGTTGTTTCCTGTTTTTCTTTTTGTTGTTGACGTTATTGCCCATTAAGTGTTGTAGTGATACTTTGCAGTTGAAGTGGATTTTTTGTTTGTTTGTTTTGAGACAGGGTCTGACAACCTAGGCGGGAATGTCAGGGTGTGATCATGGCTCACTGCAGCCTCAACCTCCTGGGCTCAAGTGATCTTCCCATCTCAACCTCCCATGTAGCTGGAGCCACAGGCACAGGCCACCACACCTGGCTAGTTTTTTTTTTTTACTTCTTTGTGGAGACGGGGTTTCACTACGTTGTCCAGGCTGTTTTCAAACTCTTAGGCTTAAGCAGTCCTCCGGCTTTGACCTCCCAAAGTGAGCCACAGCGCCTGGCCTGTAAAGAACTCTTAAAAGCTGCTTTGCATGGCAGTATAAGAAATTTTCTAATGGTGTTCATAGTTTTGGGATGTTTTGTATTGTCAATGCCATCGTTTTTTTTTTTTTTTTTAAGTTCTGTTTATTAACCATAAAAGTATATAAAGTTACTTCTTGAATATGATTTTTATTTTGCATTTTACTTTAAAAAAAGATAATATACTAATAGAAATAGCATTTTGGAGTGAACTTTGATACAAAGGATTTTTTCCGGAAAAAACATACATTGTGGCATTTTTGTTGATGCTTTTAATAAAATGTATAACTGTCCCTTTTACATGTGAAAGGTAAACTCTACCTTCTTTTTTTGGATTTTTAAAAAATTTTATCGATACAGACAGGGTCAACCTATGTTGTCCAGGCTGGTCTTGAACTCCTGGACTCAAGGGATCTTCTTTCCTTGGCCTCCCAAAGTGGTAGAATTACAGGTATGAGCCACTGTGTCCAGTCAGCCTTTTACATTTAAAAATAGTCTTAGTGAGTTGGGCTTTTACAGCATGAAAGTAAGTGTTATATCTTGGTTTTAATTTCTGTTCAGTAGACACCTCATTTTCTGCAATCATAGATACAAGACTAACAACAATAGAATACGATTGTTAGGTTTTTAAATATTATTTATGTTTGTAGTTAAAAGGAGCAATACTTTTTTTTTCTTTTGAGTTTTGCTCTTGTTGCCCAGGCTGGAGTGCAGTGGTGCTATCTCCGATCACTGCAACCTCTGCCTCCCAGGTTCAAGTGATTCTCCAGCCTCAGTCTTCCGAGTAGCTGCGATTACAGGCACCCACCACCAAGCCCAGTTTATTTTCTGTATTTTTAGTAGAGATGAGGTTTTACCATGTTGGCCAGACTGGTCTTGAACTCCTGACCTCAAGTGACACACCTGCCTCAGCCTCCCAAAGTGCTGGAATTACAGGCATGAGGCACTGTGCGCAGCTTTATTTTCAAGATACTGAAAATAATACAGGTTAAGTATCCCTAATCCAAGAAATCCAAAATCCCTCTGGTCCCAGACATTTTATATAAGGGATTCTCAAGCTGTATTAAGTATCCTTTATTTCACATCCTCGTGTTTAATAAAGAAAACACTCAAATGTTAAATCCCTAGCATTATTTTCTTGGCAACGAAATTTCCTAGTCTGCTGAATATGATAATGTCTTTCTTTCTTTTCCCCCCCTAGAGCATTCCGCGGTAAACACCTCTCTTTTGTAGTTCGATTTCCAAACCAGGGCAGACAGGTTGATGACTTGGAGGTATGGTCTCATACAAATGATACAATTGGTTCAGTACGACGATGTATTCTCAATCGTATTAAAGCCAACGTAGCCCATACAAAAATTGAGCTCTTTGTGGGCGGTGAGCTGATAGATCCTGCAGATGATAGAAAGTTGATTGGACAATTAAACTTAAAAGATAAATCGGTATGTATGTATGTATAGTTAAGAAATTTTTCAATGAAATCAAACCTGAGACTGTCGTTTAATCAGTAAATACTAATTGAGCATTTGTTATGTTTGAGGCTCAGTGTTAAGGTTATAGCATTAAAATGTAGCATGTAGTCTTTTGGATTTTTTGTTGGTATATCACTAAGTTTTGTGTTCTGTGTATTTTTCCTTGTTTTTGTTATTAACATAGTGTATCATTTTCAGCTTATTACAGCCAAACTTACACAAATAAGTTCCAATATGCCTTCAAGCCCTGATAGCTCTTCTGATTCTTCTACTGGATCTCCTGGAAACCATGGTAATCATTACAGTGATGGTCCCAATCCAGAAGTGGAAAGCTGTTTGCCTGGAGTGGTGAGTAGATACAGTTTTGAACTACTGTATGTAAGGCATGCTAGGGTCTTTGAGAATAAAGTATATAGGGTGGTTCGTTCTTTTATGGCAGAACTTACAGTTTAATGAAACACAATAACAAATAACTCTACAGTTAACCACCAACTTCAGAATGGAGCCCTCTAAAAGGTAATTGTAACACAGTTGGAATTTAAAACATAATTCCAACTGTGTCCCAAATCCTGCAGATGATCCCGTGGAACCATGTATACAAAAAGTTAGCCTTTCATATACTTGGGTTTTGCTTCCTGGAAATAATGAACTTTCTATCCACATTTGGTTGGGAAAAAATCTGCATATAAGTGGATCTGTGAAGTTCAAACTTGTGTTGTTCAAGAGTCATCTGTATCACTTTTTAAAATTTATACCACAAAATGGATCATTTTTTTAGAACTATTTATAAGCTGGGCTTGGTGGCCCACACCTGTAATTCCACTTCCTCAGGAGGCTGTGAGGCAGGAGGATTGCCTGAGCTCAGGAGTTCTAGGCTGCAGTGAGCTCTGATTGTGCCATTATCCTCTAGCCTGGTTAACAGAGTGAGACCCATCTCTAAACATATAAATAAATGAAAACAAGAACTATGTTGGAAAACACCTGTAATCTTTATCAGATTGTCAGTAACATATCTTATATCACAAAGAAACAATGACTCCTCCCTTTTTTTTTTTTCTTTTTTTTTTTTTTGAGACGGAGTTTTTGCTCTTGTTACCCAGGCTGGAGTGCAATGGCGCGATCTCGGCTCACCGCAACCTCCGCCTCCCGGGTTCAGGCAATTCTCCTGCCTCAGCCTCCTGAGTAGCTGGGATTACAGGCACGCGCCACCATGCCCAGCTGATTTTTTGTATTTTTAGTAGAGACGGGGTTTCACCATGTTGACCAGGCTGGTCTCGATCTCTTGACCTTGTGATCCACCTGCCTCGGCCTCCCAAAGTGCTGGGATTACAGGCTTGAGCCACCGCGCCCGGCAGACTCCTCCCTTTTTTAAGCTCTCCTTTCGCCCCTCCCCACATAAATTTTAATGGTTACAATAATAGCAGCCACTCCAGTGTCAGGAGGATTTGGCTCCCTGTAACAGTTGGATTAAGAATTTGGTAGTGGGCATGGCAGCCTTTTGTTATGTCCACAGAGTCTAAATTGTATGTATGAGAGAAATGGTTTAATAGGAGCTATCACAAAAAAATGACTGGAAGTGACTTGGATGAGATACTCAGTCTGCACTATTAAGGATTTGTAAGGATTAAAAGATGGAAAAGTCAGATTATTTCAAAGAGTAGAAATGGCATAAGTGAAAATATAGGGATTAACACACAGAAACTTACTTGGGGGGGACTTTCTTAATGGGAGTAAATAATTTACAGTTAATTATTTTGTGTATTTTCTAGATAATGTCACTGCATCCCAGATACATCTCTTTTCTTTGGCAAGTTGCAGACTTAGGTAGCAGCCTAAATATGCCACCCCTTAGAGATGGAGCAAGAGTACTTATGAAACTTATGCCGCCAGGTAAGAATTTTTAATTAGATGATCAAGTACTTGCTGGACAAAAAGGAGTATATTAGCAAATTCTGTTTCTAAGTGGACCATGGTTTTTGGTAAAGACTACATCAAGAGTTGACAAATGACAGCCCACAAGCCACATCCAGCCCACGACTTGTTTTTGTACATCCCAAGAGCTATATTTTTAAGTGGCTACCAAAAAAAAAAAATCCTGAAGAGTAATATTTTGTGATACGTGAAAATTATATGAATTTTAAATTTTAGTGTCCGTGATCAAAACCAGCCTCATTTGTTTATATTCTGTCTACATGACTGCTTTTGTCTTAAAACAGCACAGCTCAGGAGTTGTGACAGAGGCCTTATGGCCCACAAGCCCAAACTACTTGAGTTCCCTGGCCCTTTACAGAAAATTTGCCTGTGCCTAGGCTATAATATGGGTCATGTGTCATCTGCAGCATTGTTCCTTTTTTATTCCTTAGAAACAACCACTTTCAACTTTTTGCTTTTATTTTTGTGTATATATTTACCATTATGTCTGGAGTGTCCTCATATAGCTCCTTCTTTGTTACTTAAAGCTATATACTGATTTTCTACTGTGCAGATAAAAACTTAACTGTTACATGCCCCGACATCCTCCCAGTATTTGCTTAAATCCAGATGCAACATTTAAGTTTCCAAGATTGTGTGAAATATAGATTACTGATAACTTTTATCCTGGATTTAATAATTTCCCTTTTGTTTTCTGTTCTGTACACCTATCACTTACTCTTCCCACATACTTTCTAATAATCTTCCACCACATTTTCTATTGTTATATACATTATATGATTCATTGGCTCCACTATTGTCCTAGGACTCTCCTTCTCCTCTGGTTGTTCTTTGCTATACAACCATTGTTTTGGGACTCTAGTTTCTAAAACTTTCCTGTGTCAGATCCTAGTTCACTGGCTCCTATGTCTTAGGCCATGCTTAAGGAGCTCTCATTTTGTTAAAGTACATCCTCCTGTAGTTTGGAAGGGCATATGGAAGGTAGATGGGGTTTTTTTTTTTTCTTTCTTTCTTTCTTTCTTTTTTTTTGGAGACATTTTTTATCTGAATGTAGACAAACTGTCAAATTTGATTAGTGGTTTGGGTATAGAATCCTAGGTTTGAAAATGTATTCCTTCTAGCTGGTGACATTCCTGATGAGAAGACCAGAGTTCTCTTGGTTTGTTTTCCTTTGCATGTGACCTTGGTCTCTGGAATTTTTGGTTTTATCCTTACATTTTATTTTTTCCTTCCCCACCCACCCCAGGTGTCCCTTATCCTTACATTTTGAAATACTATGATGTGCCTTAGAGTTAGGTCTGTTTTGTGATGCATCATCTTTGTATTCTTTGATAGTTTTCTCACCAGCATTTTGCATTTTCTTTGTCTTTGAAATGTCTGAGTGTGATGGTGAATCTACTAGATCTGATTTTATCTTTTCTCTCTTCCTTTCTTCTCTCTTTTCTCTTTAATCATATTCCATCTTTGGGGTGGCTTCTTTAACTTTTTCCAGCTGTTTTGTTGGCTTTTCCCCTCCAGATATTCTAGTGTTAAAATGTCAGGACCTTTCTCCTAGTTATACTTTTCCATACATAGGATTTTATTTTTCACTAACATTCTTGTGTTTCTAATGTATGGGTGTTCCTTTAAAACCTACCGTTTGGCAAAATTATGCACTAAAAATGGTAGGGCTTATGGGGGAAAAGTAGAGTTTGGGCAGATCATTCAGGCCTGTACAACCTAAAAATTTTCTTAATGTGTTTTTTGAAAATATTTACAATCTTACGGAAAAATTAGAAGTATAATTTAAGAACATTTGAGAATAATTTGCTGGTTTTTGTAGTCCCATTACCACCAAATACTTTCCCTACAAACAGGAATATTTGTCTATATAAGCAAAATTCAGCCATCTATACCAGGAAGTTAATGTCAATTCATTACTGCCCTATTCAATGTTTTCAGTAATCTCCTTCACGGCAAAAAGATACAGTTCAAAATCAAATATAGTCAGCCCTCTATGTCCATGGGTTGTGCGTCTATGGATTGAACCAACTGTGGATCAAAAATGTTTCGGGGAGAAAACGTTGTTCAGAGTTCCAAAAAGCAAAACTTGAATTTGCCACATGCTGAGTACTGTGTTGAATCCACATGAATGAAGCTATGTGTAGGCATTGTATTAGGTGTTACAAGTACAGTTAGGCACTGGATAATGATGTGACAGACTACATATACAATGTTGGTCTCATAAAACAATACCATATTTTTATTGTACCTTTTCTATGTTTAAATACACAAATAGTTACCGTTGTGTTATAATTGTGTATAGTATTCAGTACAGTAACATACTTGTATGGTTTTTGTAGTCCCATTACCACCTGGTTTTTGTAGCCTAGGAGTAATAGGCTATACCATATATAACCTAGATGTATTGTAGGCTTTGTCATCTAGATCTGTTGTAAACACACACTGATGTTCACACAATGATGAAATTGCTTAATGATGCATTTCTCAGAACATACACAACACATGAATGTAATCTGGAGATGATTTAAAGTGTACAGGAAGGAGTGCATAGGTCATATTCAAATTCCACATATTTTTATGTAAGGTACTTGAGCATCCCTGGATTTTGGTATTGGGAGGGTGGATCCTAGAACCACCCCCCCCCCACCCCCAGTGGATACTGGGGAATAACTGTATTGCATTCAGTTAATTAATCTCTTTAGTTTCCTTCTGAAACAGTTCCTCATACTGTCTTTGGCCTTCATGACCTTGATCTTAAAGATTGCAGACGAGTTAATTATAGAATATCCTTCAGTCTAGATTTGTCTGTTTTATCATGATTAGATTCAGGTTATGCATCTGTGGCAGAAATACCATAGAAGCAATGCTCTGTTCTTCTCAATGCATCTCATCAGATAGTGTGTAATTTCAGTTTTTCCTGTTACTGATGATGATTATTGTGATCACTTGAGTTTTTTCCTTGCTTCTCCACTGTAAAATTACCCTTCCCTTGGAAAGGATTTTGGGCCAGGCGTAGTGCCTCATGCCTGTAATCCCATCACTTGTGAGGCTGAGGTGGGCAGATCACCTGAGGCCAGGAGTTCAAGACCAGCCTGGCCAACATGGCAAAACCCCATCTCTACTAAAAAAGACAAAAATTAGCTGGGCATCGTAGCATGCACCTGTAATCCCAGCTACTCAGGAGGCTGAGGCTGGAGAATCACTTGAACCTGGGAGGCAGAGGTTGCAGTGAGCCAAGGTCATGTCAGTGCACTCCAGCCTGAGCAACAGTGAGATTCCGTCTCAAAAATAAAGTATTTTGTGCAAAGGTACTTTGAAACTGTTTATACTGTTCCTCATTAGGCTTTTCGTTTTTCATTCATTCATTTTTATCTGTATGAAATTTTGGTCAAGAGGTTATATAATCTGTTGCTATCATTTATCTTGACGCTAAAATGATCTCTAATTTGGCCAGTGGGAGTCCTTTCAGGCTGTTCTTTGTTACTTTCATATATTTCCATTATTCTTTCAGCACTTGTATCCTTTTTGACTTAAGATGTTTCAGGATAGGCCAGGTATAATGTCTCACACCTATAATCCTAACATTTTGGGAGGACGAGGCAGGAGGATCCCTGGAGCTCAGGCATTTGTGACCAGCCTGGGCAGCATAGTCAGACCTCATCTCTATTAAAAATTAGCCGGGTGTGGTGATGCACACCTTTAGTCCCAGCTACTTGGAAGACTGAGGTAGGAGGATCACTTGAGCGTGAGAGATGGAGACTGCGTTGAGCTATATGATAATGCCACTGCACTGCAGCCTGGACAACAGAACAAGACCTTCAAGACCTTGTCTCCAAAAAAAAAAAAAAAAAAAAAAAGAAGGAAGAAGAAGTAGTTCCAGATTAACATCTTAAACTCTCTCTGCCAGAGTCCTGGAATTGGCTGTTTCTCCAAGGAGCCCTGGTTGGTTTATTTTCCTGAAGAATGGTATTTAGAAACCAAGATCTGGACATTTATTGCACTCATTGCTATTGATGTGTTGTTTCTCCCCAGCTCTCTTAGCAGTTAGAACTAAGGAACGTATGTATGTGCGTCTACATTTAAGTCTATATTACTATATATACATACACATAAATGTATGTGTGTATGTATGTTTTTACAAAACCATGGGGTCACACAACTTCCTCTCATTCCAGCCTATTACAGTTTCATTCTAGTTTTCTCCCTCTCCATATTTGTAACTCTCTTTTGTTTTTGTTTTTTGTGATGGAGTCTCACTCTGTCATCCAGACTGGGGTGCAGTGACGCAATCTTGACTCACTGCAGCCTCTGCCTCCCGGGTTCAAGGAATTCTCCTGCCTCAGCCTCCCAGTAGCTGGGATTACAGGCATGAGCCACTGTACCCGGCCAACTCTCAAACTCCTTTTTCTGACAGTGAAAAACCTGGCTTCTGTTATCCTTTCACTTATTTTCCTATTTAATCAGTTATGTCCAGCATGCACGCAGGCACACACATGCCTTTCTTTGAATGCAGAAGGACTCTGTCTCTGAATGTTGGGTCTCCACTCCAGGGGCACACTCGTCACGCTGCTTTGAGTTAAATCTTTATGCTGAGCTCTACCCGCTTGTTGGGCTTCCTCCTTCTCCTTCGTGGTCTCTAATTCCCAACATAGGATTACCTTTAAAACTTGCACACAGTTTAATCAGAGCACTAATGAGATAATAATTAGTATCCTCGGAGATAACTTGGACAGCCCAGGCAAGTACTTCAGTGTGGCTGAAGGTTTCCTCAGGAGATTGTAAAAAGACACAAACCAATACAGAGGAAATGCTGACTTGACATTGCCGAGATATGATGCAGAAGAGTGGAGCTCTGAGATAGATGGGCTACCGTTAAGATAGGCACAGGGGGAAGTAAAACCTGCCAAGGTCCATGAAAGTCTAGTTTAGGTGTGTACCTCCCAGGATGACCCCTT